TGGTCCTTCGAATAAAATCGCTAGACGTGTAATCTGCCGGGAAGACATAAAATAATACACCGCGGCCACGTAAACGAGGACAGTTAACTGGCAAGCTGCAGCGACCTCCGCAATTGCTCCTTTATCGTGATGCTCGGAGTACCGGCAGAATTGCTTTATTACAGGGTTCAATTCGCTTTCAGTTTTCCAGAGTCCGCGGGTCCGTGTCGCGGTGGCGAGCTCTCGTTAGCTCGGTTATTTGTCAAACTCGTTGACAACCACGCGAACCCCGCGGAAAGAGGGGAAAAAAATGAAGATGGTCGTTCGAGTGTCCGCTCGCGATCAGCGGACGCGAACGTCTCCTCGGTAGCCGAACGGTAGGAAGTTCGCAATCTTCGCGAGACGCGAGGATTAAGTGTCCAGTCATCGCCTAGAAGGATACAGCTTTATTGCGAACCCGACGAAGGAGCTTGAAGAGGTCAGAGCGGTTTACTGCCGGGTTATCGCGTACCGGATCAACATGTAGCTGGAACCATTGTGATTATTACGATCCCGGGGACCGTTATTTATGGGCAATGTTCTCCGGGCATAGAGATACCGATTCAATTGAATCTCATTTCGTAAGGGGACGTATGGACACTCGTCTTTTATTTCCGTGCCAGCCTATAGATAATCGGTGATCAATAAACCTTGGATCAGAGTCGCTGAATAATTGCCACCAGTGTTGGAAGCTTTACCATAACTCCCGCAAGAGTGAATGTATTTCATTCAAATTTATTTATGAAGCAGAGCACATAGATACGAAAAAGTATTAAACAACTTTTCTGTACAGCGTCAAACAATATTATCAAAAATAAAATACGAATTTTTAAGAAAAGTCGACAAGGGGGGTAGGTGCCTAAATATTTCGGCGAAAAAAAAAATTTCTAATCGTTCTGGAAAAAATTATTGTCGGTTGCAGGGGTCCATTACAATCATTCTTGGTGAATAGACATACCCCAAAAATCCTACGCAGTTTCGAGAAAAAAATTCGAGTAGGTGCTGGAATTTTATGACGAAATTGAATAGTTTTAAATCGTTCTGAAAAAATTATTTTTAGTTATAGTGAGCAGTTATAATCATTTATAGTGAATACACATATCCCTGAAATCCTACGCAGTTTCGAGAAAAAAATTCAGGAAATGGACAAATTTTTCGGCAAAATTATACAATTTCAAATTGTTTTACAAAAATTATTTTTAGTTGCGGGGGTCAATTATAATCATTTTTTATGAATAGACATACCCCCGAAATCCTAACCATTTTCGAGAAAAAAATTCAAATAGGCAGACAAAATTTCGGGCGGAATTGAAATATTTCAAATCATTCTAGAAAAATTATTTTCCGATGTGGGGGTCAATTACAATCATTTTTGGTCAATAGACATACCCCCGAAATGTTATGCACTTTCGAGAAAAAAATTTGTATAGGTAGACAAAATTTTGGGCGAAATTAAAAAGTATCGAATCATTCTGAAAAAATTGTATTCGAATGCGGGGATCAATTACGATCATTTTTGGTCAATAGACATACCCCCGAAATGTTACACACTTTCGAGAAAAAAATTCGAATAGGTAGACAAATCTTTGGGCGGAATTAAAACATTTCAAATCATTCTGGAAAAATTATGTTCGGGTGCAGGGGTCAATTACGATCATTTTTAGTCAATAGGCTTACCCCGAAATGTTACGCACTTCCGAGAATAAAATTCGAATAGGTAGACAAATTTTTCGGCGAAATTAAAATATTGCAAATCATTCTGGCAAAATTATTATTGGTTGCAGGAGCCGATTACAATCATTTTTGGTCAATAGACATACCCCCAAAATCCTACGCATTTTCGAGATAAAAATTCCTTACCGAAAATATAATGTGTGGCCGGAAATGCTCCCCGAAATTTCATGCGTATGTTTAAAATATCACAACTTCTGAACGGATTGGAGAATTTTAATATTTTTTTATGTTATAAAAGTACCAAAAATATGAATTCACGTAAATTCAAACGGATAGAACGTGATTAATGTTTGAAATCTTATAATCGACGCATGTAATAATTGCTCAAATACCTATACGTTCTAGTAGACAGACCACACAACGGCATTTGAGGATTAATAGCATTCATACGGAGCTAATAAATCATTGAACAAATCTTTCGAAATTACCAGCCGCGGCGGATTTTTACAGTATGTGTTCTACTAATTAATTAATCGAATTACGTCTAAGGCATACGTAGAACAGGTATTTCACTGATTGATATTTATCGGTATTTCGCTAGTCGATACATGTAGAATGTGACTCATACGAAGTGTTGCAAGCTGATTTCTTAAAAGCTGTGAAAAATATACAGATACTTTCGAAATTACTGGGATGATTATATTTTCTTTAATTTCAAATTATGGAAGAGTAATTTTCATGATATCCTTTTGCCAAACTAACCTGAAAATTCTCATGCGACATTGATGCCAAAGTTGAGTAATAGGTTAGAATATATCGAATACCGAACGCTAATGTAATCGGCATTCACTGGCCCGACAATTACAAGATATCAATTTATTTTGTAATCGATAGTGAAACCGAATACATCTATTCTATAGATGCACAGCTACCTAATCCAACGAGCGAATACGTCCAACCGTTCGATCGTGAACGGAATACGAAATGTCGTTGGAATATTTTTCGAGATACATTTCGCTCATCCCCGGGATGGAAGAAGCCGCTCGAGAAAAGCGAATAACGCGAACGAATTCTGGCGAATTGGCGGCACGCGCGCCCATCGTCCATGATTCAATAGGGGGCAAACAGCGATTTGTTGAAGACGGCTAAAAGCCGGCTGCGGATGATCGTAGATAGACACGAAAATTCGTAGTTCGTCACGACGGCCACGGCGGCGACGGCGGCGACGACGGGCGACGCGACAAGCGTCCTTGCTCCAACCACTCGCGCTACTACCGATGACGTAATCGTCGCGATACCCCGCAATCTTGGCGCCTCGGTAAACTCGTAATATCTATTTTTATCTGGTGGAAGCAGGGGTTCCGCCCCGCCGCGCCTCGTACCCCTCTCTCACACAGTCGCACCAAGGCGTACGTACTTCGACACACCCGTGTACCAACGCCTCTCTTCTTCCTGACTCTTAACCTCTAAATTCAGCCTCCACACAAACTGACCATTCTCGAATCGAGCAGGGATTATTCGGAGATTGTTCGATATTCAATTATTTCTCACCTAATCGAATACAGCGAGGCTTCCATTCGTCAGGTCGATTCCCTTCCTAGAATTGTCACGCGAGTCGCGAAGAAAAAGAAAGGGAAACTTTATTTAATACGTGGATACGTAATGAACTTTGTATGAGGACACGCGCGGAGACTCGATCGTCTGTCTAGAATCCTTGTAACTCGAGACCTAACTCGCGAGCAAACTTAGAATGTCCAAGAGTTCGAATATCAACATTCTTCGAATGTTCGAATATTCGAGTAGGTATTTGAATACCATTGCTTGAATATTTGAATATTAATAACAAATACCCATCGCCCAAGTATATGATCGGCCACCAAGTTGTTCCATTATTCGAACTATATTATTGAATATTTTACAACACCCCAAAATTTCGACCCTAATGTCGCGTGTCTTGATTCTTGACTCGGCGTTGGGATCTTCGGTGCTTTACTTTGCTATCTTCGGCGTTCTATTCGCCTTCGACGAACGTAATCCTAGACGGTCGACGTCGATGCTTCGAGGATGTTTACGAAGCGTAAATTTTATGTTGGAATTTATGCAGCGATAATTAGCAGAATTATCTACCGCTGGGAAGTTCAGGATGAGTTCGCAGATCTGGTTGAAGATGGCGCGAACACGTTTCGATCGGGAACAGGTTAGGATAGGTTCGGGCGCCAGTACTGCGGCGACATGTTAATTATAGTAAAAAGTTACAATCGATTTATTATTGGTCGAACTGCTTGTCCTCGGGAATATTTTGCACGTTTAAAAGCAATTTCGATCGTGTCTATTTAAGGATGCACGGTAAGAAGGCGCCAATCGATTGCGTAAAAGTTAACTGGAGTGATTTATTATCCGTCAGAATGAAGAGCACGATGAATACAAATGCGATTAAATAGATTTTTATGCCAATAATCATGTTTTCTGTGATGTCTCAGGATCGGGGAATATAATTAACCGTATAAATGTATTTACGAATGTAAAAAGTATTAAACTCATACGTAAGAATGTGTTAGAATATTTATTGCTTACAGAAAACGAAAAACGTAGAATTTCTTGAATGCCTTTGAACCAGCGAGATTTGTTCATTCGAAGTTATTTGAAAGTCATTAGTATGGTCAAAATAGTAGAAAAGTGGCGATAACCTTCAAAATTCGAGAAAGGAAACATTAATCGTAATAGTGTAGTGATAGCGATAGCGTAATTATTGTAGATTCGTTTCGTATAACGAAAAATCAGACAGCAGTAAGTTTTCCTCATTAGATATTTTATGGTTATTCCCCTTCCTGCGTCTACTCTCGAATCTGGCGCCGCCGTTGTCTCCACGACAGTTGGCGAGACGCGTGGGTCTTTCCGGCGACGAGTCCTTTATGATACCGCCTGTACGCCCGCAGACTCTCACCGAACGAACACTTTTAACAAGAAAGAAAGACTCCTCGTTAACGCCAGATCTCATCTTGTTCCGAGGCATGTCTGTACGTATCGCATTTCGTGGAAGTTCTTCATAAAAACGAAAGATTAAACTCTTTGATGTTCGCGCTATCGAGAAATTTCAATGAACAACTTTCAGTCGGTAGATTTGCATTTCCTGAACCGATAAATAAGAAATAATAAAAATGATCCTTACTCTAATATTCTCATTGTTACTATAAACGTACGACATATTACATAAATGTTGTCATATTTGCAATATTGCAAAAACGTTGCAGTCATATTGGTAAGAAATAATACCTATCATTAATGTTGCGTGTTGTTGTTTGTTCTAGGTGAGATGGGACAAAAGGAGTGGTGTACATTAGCATATTGGGAATTGGGTGGTCGAGTGGGCCGTCTTTATCCAGTGGAGCCTTCAACCGTAAATGTTTTTGATTCCCTCCATGATGGCGATGGCCTTTGCTTAGCAACACTAGCTGAAAATCATGTTGCACCACCTGCAGTCCAAAGAACACGAAGTAAAATTGGTCTTGGTAAGTTTTGATTGTCACCGATGCTTTTTATTGTTTCTCTGCTTTTTAAATTAGTTCAAGTTTCATTCATTGGAGAGAAATGTCATAGAAAAGCTGTTTTACACAGTGTACCGTTGAATAATGTTGAAACTTAAAGAGAAATTATGTTTTGTTCGTAGGTTTAATGCTTAGTCAAGAAGCAGATGGTGTCTGGGCATATAACAGATCAGAAAGCCCAATCTTCGTGAACTCACCTACTCTGGATGACCCAGAGTCTAGAACACTACTTGTCTATCGTGTGCCTCCTGGTTTTTGTCTGAACATCTTCGACCGAACCAAAGTTCTACAGCTTCCATATGGTAGTGGTACAAGAACAGGCAGTCAAGCTACAGGCTTTGCCTCTGGTCCCGTTGATATCAACTCCGTCCGCATCAGCTTTGCCAAAGGCTGGGGACCCAAGTACTCAAGACAGGAAGTCACCTCTTGTCCATGTTGGCTCGAAGTACTCCTAGCACCATGCAGGTGATCCCTACAACTCATCGTGAAGGTATTCAGTCTCGTCCGTTTGCGCCTCTTCTTACTCCTCGTCGTCCTCCAAGAGGACCGATCTGTGAAACTGACGCAGCAACGACGAAGCTCCGTCCCAAAGGCTGCCAACGGATACTCAAACGACGTGGATCGCCGCCAGCAGTCTTACCAAAGTACGCCGCCATACATCTGAGAACAGCGTCATTTTGCTAACAGAGAAAAATGAGAATCACTCGACAAGAGCGTTTTATATTCTTGTGCCTACGAACGGAGGACACACAGTTCTGCGTGGTACTCGATTTTCATAGCATCAAAGCCCGATCATACTTCATCACGGTATTTTCTTGATTGGTCAATAATACTGTTGTACTTTCTGGATAATGCTAAATGAGATTTCACAAAAAGTGAAGCGGAGACTTCCGCTAGGTCTAGTCAGTGGTATTTAACGTTTGTAAGCTTGACGTCTACGTGTCATGCATTAAGAATAACATAAGATAAACAAACACTATCTGAAATCATGGAAAGTACGAGAGTAAAATTGACTTGGTTAATACACTGTCGCTTTCTTTTATTCATCTTAAGTTTAATACCTGTACTGTCTGGCCATGTCCTCGTTTATGGTTAATCATTGCACTGCAAGGAAGCAGAAACTTGGGCTTCCGATGAGGTCTAGTCAATGGTGTTTAAGAGCATGGAAAGCTCGTTGGTCGCATGGATTTTGAATCTATTTAAATTATCGAGAAACGAGAACACTGCCAACAGAATCGAAGGAAGTACTTAGTGTTTTATGTTATGTTCAAAAAGACTTTAATCTTACACGATTAACGTAACAATATTTCTAGTATAAATTTCCTTCGTCTATATGGAATTTATTCAAATGCGAGAAAAGATTTGTTATTTTAATAGAAAGCCAAACCATGGCGTGTTTGGCTACACTTTCGGCGTTCAATTGGAAATTTTATCGAGTTCTAGCGATTGTTCGCAAAACTAGTCAGTGACGAAATTTGCATGAAAAGATATCACCGAGTTAACAAAACTTTTCTCGATTTTTTCATCAATTTTGTACATCGTGAGTCGATACATCAGCGTTCAGTTATATAAGCTCGCGATTACGTTTCATGAGCGTTAAAATGTCGTGTACCACGGGCACTGCGATTGTCCCCGATCGTCGTTCGGTGCTGTACGTACATATATGTACATACATTGTGCCTTCCCAGCTTCCTTCGTGGTGCAATGTGCGAAAGAAAGAATGAATGCGTGTATGTGTGTATCTAAGGAAACGAGAGAAAACGAGAGAACTCCGCGTGCCAGCTTTGCACCAAATGCCCGAGAGCTTCGTACTGCAGTAATACGATACTGTGATAAAAGTTCGACCCAGGTCTCTTTTTCCTTCCTTATTTCGGACAAGTTCATGAAGCACCGACGAAAAAGCAATCAATCTGTTAATGTGTATATGTACGCAAACGAAACAAACGTATGCTTAATAAACAAAAAAAAAAAAAAAATATGATCCATAGTTAGACGTTAAATTTATAAAAGTACTGTTTTCTTGGAATAATTTTCTACCGTCGTGAAGGATATAAAATTAGAGTGTAAGCGAGTGGAGTTTTACAAATTTTATCGCTGAAGTCTTCGCCGAAATCCGCCTCCGGATCCGAACGCGTACGATAACATTAAACGACACGTGTACCACGGATCAGCGATTTACACGTGGCAAAACGCTAAAAAACGTTTCTGTAAAGGAAATAATTGTACGGGGAGTTCGGAACGATGATGTTTAAGTACGTACATACGATGTAACCATGTACCACCAGTCATACGTATTCATTCATACGCATACGCAAACACAAGCATGTATAAAACACAATCGACTGATCGAATAGTTTTTTTTTTTTTTTTTTTTCTCGAGCCGTTAGTTACTTTTCGTATAACCGCTTTTATCGGTTTAAAAGCGGTCGTCAGGTCACGTATGAATCGTGATCCATTGCGTGTAAGACGCCGAACGATATATTGTGATGCATATATTGTCGCTTAAATGTTATATATTAATATGTATACGTACGTATACAAAAATGTTCATAGGTAGCTAGCTGTATCTACTGTAACGGTGCGATTCCGTGGCCTGTATACGAAGTTGCGAAGTTTACGATTGTCAGGGATATCTAATTATTTGTAACGTCGTTCCTCGAAGTGCTGCACGAGCAACGTTCGTCTCGGGAGAACTTTTTTTACACGAACACAACGGCACGATTCCGCTTTGCGTACAGGCTTAGGAATCGTCGATGAAAATTGCAACGACGAGAAAGAATTCTGTGGTAGAGTCGTCCATTTTGGAAGCTACGTTGCTTTTTATAGTCTTTTCTCACGGCTCTGACCTGCAGTTATAGTCGGAAGTTGGTTCATCGCTGGAATTGAAATAAACGCGTGCGGTCAGTCTGAAAGCGATTTTCGAAACGATCTTCGGGTAAACGCGGAGCGCAAGACACCCAATAATTTGTACAAATATTTTATTTTCTTTCGTAAAGATTCGATTAAAAATAAGTTTACTTATTCTGTGAATTATAATAACCCCCATTTGCAATCAGTTACGCGAATTAGGCGTTACACGTGACTTCCTGAAATTCTCGATTACAGACAGGCAACGAAAACGAGTTGGGTCATTTTTACTCGCACCGTTCCCGATGGTACAGTCGTTTCCCAGCATTATGACTGAAAGGACGTACAGTTAATAGTGTACTTAACAATATTTTATAATTGAACGTACGTAAATCTTAATTCTACCGAGCCCGATCGTATTTGTAGTTTTGTTAATTAGGTGACGATTGTTAAAGATATATCTAAACGGACGAAAAATATTTATTCGTATTCTTTTCATAAAATAAATAAAACGATTAGTTTGTATATAAAAATGAACAAACAAAAAAAAGTAGGGTAATAATTTATATCAGCGGACACCTCGTCAACGATTTTTGATACGTGTTTTACGGCGAGGGTACTAATTACTTTTTTCACATGAATTAATCGGCGATCTATTATGGTTTCTGAGATAAACATAAAAAATTAATCAGTATTTCGCTTGTACGACACGTATCAAGGTCATCGGAAAGGGTCCGCCGATGTAAATAATTACTGAATGTAGTAACATTCTTTGATACCTTCATCTTGAACTAATGAACGATAATTGAAAACGAAGTTTCATTCCATACGATTCGTGTGAGTATAAATATAATTATAATGTATTGTTAAGATCGTTTACTGAAAAATATTATTGAAAAGAGGTTGAAAGGCAATTTTCGTTAAAATGCAGGTCATTTGAATATGCATACCATCCCGAATTGGTTTTTATTAAACTTGGTTATGTACCCAAGAGTAACAACCTGCGAATGCTTGATCGCTGTGGTGGGGTGAGAGGCCATTTTGAATAAACCCTAGTCTAGGACATTTCGTTACTAATTGGTAGTACGTCGCGGTGTAAAGAGAGTCTCGAAGTAACTTCGTAAATATTTTCTTCAACTTGCTACCTCGTTACTTTTTCTCGTATTACGTTCGTTACATCCTGTTTTATACTTAACAGAATCTTCCTTTCGCGTTTCTACTCGCGGAATAAACTGGTTATCGAGCAATGCACCCGGTAAAATATGTACCACGTACGGTGAAAGTAATCTACGATACTTTTAGTCGTTAAAGTGTCAGTGCTTCGAAAAAAAATTGTGTTTGCTCGTGTACCATCTGTAGAACCAAACGAGTGGTGTTCAATTAATTTCGTAAGTATCCATATGAGATTTTAAACGTACTAATATACTCACGTGCGTCACACTAGTTTGTAAACTCGAATACACGTTTTCTTTTTCTCGCGTTTCCCGCGTAATATTGAAATATGGCAGACGTTACGTCACATCGTTAGGCACGATTTTACATGGCAACGAAGTAATTAAATTTTTTTATTTATGAAAAGTGTCTAACACGGATGCTAAATAAAATTAAAATATTTAGCAGTTAAAATACTTATTATCGTAGAATTTATTTTGTTTAAATGAAAACTAAGTCCGTTGAATAATTGGATATACATCAACACAAGATTGTTGTAAAAGTTAAGTAAACAAAGTGAAAAAAATATCGGCAAGCACTTTTTAAGTTGTTTAGAGGGTGGCCAATAATCGTGTGCACGAACAAGGACAAGGGAATTTTTATTAGAAAAATACATCGATTCGAAGCGTAGAATTGATCACATAAAGCTTCGTTTTCAATACAAACAATGGCAAAACTACGTCGAGCACTTATATAGGAGTGTAAAAAATACATTTGGCTCACTTTTTACAGATGAATCTACGAATATAGATCGATGGAGACTTGTGAATAAAACCTATTACGAGATTTATTTTAACCTTAAAATTCATGGTCAATTTTTTTCTTATTAAGTCGTTGAAACTCGTCTCGATGCAAATAATAATAATTTATTTTACTAGTGTATAGTAGATGAGGGACAATTTGAGAGACAATTTGTTTCACGATATAATTGATGAAATCTTTTACAATTCTTTGTACGAATTTTATGTCGAACTTTTTATTTTCTTATCATGGAAAATATACAGAAAAAAAATTGATCCCGAATTTTAAGATGCAGGGGAGCAATAAAAGGTTGACAAATTTTTAACCGTGTCAACACATACACATCACACCGAATTAATAATAAAATAATAACGTTAACATAATTCTATAGAATTCAAGTACGTAACTAGAGTTTATTTAACCTAAAGTTCCTGTTCCCACGATACACTTTTAAGTAACTATTTCTCAAATTCATACTGTTATCCATGTCAAGCGGGCACGTATTCACGCTGGCGCGTTGCCATTAAAGTAAATAAATCGTTTTAATACTAACTCAGGCTACCAAGAATAATTTAAGACAGAGAAATTCTAAACAAAATTTGTTTCTATAAAATATCACCCTGTAAGTTCGAGTTTGTAAACTTACGTACTAGATTACAAACTTCACGTCACCATGTCCCATTCTATGTCACATAATGCGGTTTAGGAAAACATGCTGGAATCTTTAATTATTTATCGTCGATGGCCCGTTATTAATACTGTTTTATGAGTTAAAAACAATCTTCGATAGTCTTGCTACTTTATACGAACGCAGTGTAGATTTAATTTCATTTTTTAACGTAAGATACAAAATTTTTCAATAAAAATCTTTTTCGTTTGTACCGCGGTTTTTAAATAGCTCTGTAAACAATGGCGAAAATAATTCGTTTTTTTCACTGGAATTGTACGTCTGTGAAACATTAGTGCCTTCATAGCCATTTAGAGCGGCCAACTATTAATGATATACAGGGTGTTCGCCCATCCATGGGAAAAAATTTAAAAAATAAGACGAAAATCAAGAATATCAATTTCTTGACCGAGGCTTTATTAAAATGTTATTAACAAAATTAAATTACAAAATTTTAAATCGTTCTGGAAAAATTATATTTAGTTACGGGGGTCAATTACAATCATTCTTGGTCAATAGACATAACCCGGAATTCTTAACCATTTTCGAGAAAAAAATTCGAATAGGTAAACAAATTTTTGGACGAATTTAAAAAATTTCAAATCATACTAAAAAAATTATATTTAGTTACGGGGGTCAATTACAATCATTCTTGGTCAATAGACATAACCCGGAATTCTTAACCATTTTCGAGAAAAAAATTCGAATAGGTAAACAAATTTTTGGACGAAATTAAAAAATTTCAAATTATACTAAAAAAATTATATTTAGTTACGGGGGTCAATTACAATCATTCTTGGTCAATAGATATAACCCGGAATTCTTAACCATTTTCGAGAAAAAAATTCGAATAGGTAAACAAATTTTTGGACGAAATTAAAAAATTTCAAATCATACTAAAAAAATTATATTTAGTTACTGGGGTCAATTACAATCACTTTTGGTCAATAGACATAGCCCTGAATTCTTAACCATTTTCGAGAAAAAAATTCGAATAGGTAAACAAATTTTTGAACGAAATTAAAAAATTTCAAATCATACTAAAAAAATTATATTTAGTTACGGGGGTCAATTACAATCATTCTTGGTCAATAGACATACCCCGGAATTCTTAACCATTTTCGAGAAAAAAATTCGAATAGGTAAACAAATTTTTGAACGAAATTAAAAAATTTCAAATCATACTAAAAAAATTATATTTAGTTACTGGGGTCAATTACAATCACTTTTGGTCAATAGACATAGCCCTGAATTCTTAACCATTTTCGATAAAAAAATTCGAATAGGTAAACAAATTTTTGGACGAAATTAAAAAATTTCAAATCATACTAAAAAAATTATATTTAGTTACAGGGGTGAATTACATGCATTTTTGGTGAATAGACCTGCCCCCGAAATCCTACCCACTTTCTAGAAAAAAATTCAGTACGAGCGGAACTTTAAACGTTAATAACTTTTTAACGAAGCCTCCATCAACAAATTAGTATTCTTGATTTTCGTCTTATTTCGGCCTCTAGAATCTCCCATTAAAATTTTTCCCATGGTTGGCTGAACATTCTGTATACAGGGTGAGGCATTTTAAACAGGTCACCTGAATAACTCGCTTGTTTTTGAAGATAGGAGAAAATGCATTAGACCAAACTTATTTGGTATCGGGGGGCTCATAATCTGGTATTACCAATTTTTTTGTAGGTGGAGGCGTCAAGGAGATATGAAGGTCAACTTTGTTTTTTTAAATGGAACAGTATATTTTATTACTTACATTCTGATAGAGTGTTTCAAGGCGAATACAATGACCTATTATTAAGGTCATTCAAGGTCACCCAAAGTCAACTGCAATAGAAAATAAATTGTGTCAAAGCACTCTTCGAACACTTGGATACTTTGATACTGCTATTACAAGTGTTCAAAATGGCGACCTTGAACATGGATACATAGTCTAAATCGTTGCAATACTGATGACACTGCCTGGCAAATTTCATTTGTATCTATTACAGAGCAAGCTCTTCTTATACGTTCTTGCATGTCAAGTTTGGTAGTTGGTTTTTCGCGGTACACTTCTGCCTTTAATTTTCCCCACAAATAAAAATCGAGAGGTGTCAGGTCTGGGGATCGTGCCGGCCATTTGTTACTTCCTGATCGACCTACCCAAGAATCTCCAAATTTTCTATTTAGAAATTCTGTAACATTGCGTGCTGAATGAGCAGGGCATCCGTCTTGCTGGAACCACATGGATTGTCGTATGTCCAGTGAAGTGTCTTCTAACAATTCTGGCAAAACGTCTTCTAAGATTCTCAGGTACTTACTACTATTTAGCGTGCCATCAATAAAATATGGACCAATTATTTTATTATGAAGAAGACCGCACCAGACGTTTACAGACCAAGGTCTCTGTTTGTCGACTTCTCTCAACCATCGTGGATTATCTACCGACCAGTAGTGCATGTTGTGACGGTTAATTGCTCCATGGTTTGTAAATGTGGCCTCATCGGTAAATAACAATTTACTCAAGAACATTTCATCGTCTTGTAGTTTTTGTAAGCCCCATTCACAAAATTGTAAACGTTTTGTATAATCATTTTCAGTTAATTGTTGATGAAGTGATATGTGGAACGGATGAAATTTGTTAATGTGTAATATTCGTAAAATACTTCGTTGACTGATGCCACTTTCGCGTTCCAGTTGTCTTGTACTAACATGTGGATCTTGTATTACAGCTGCTACAATATTTATCGAGTTTCCATCATCAGTTGCTCGTTTGGCAAAATTACGTGTTTTCTTATCCACAGTTCCAGTTTCTTGGAACTTTTTCATAATGTTTGTAAAGACAGAAAGTGAAGGTCTATTATTACGATCGGGAAATCTTTCATCATACACACGTACCGCTTCCCTCATAATTTTATGACATTCACCATAAATAAGAACCATTTCTACTTTCTCTGCTATCATGTAATGTATGTATTTTAGAAAACTGAACACTTAGACTAAATAAATATTACGAAGCTGTGCTCTAGTCGGTAGTAAAATTACCAATAATGTTTGAGGATACGGATAAGCGTACAATGTGATTGAATGTTTGTTTATCTTTTGTGACCCGTGTCACGCAATACACACACGTGATACACAAGTATTCGAAATGTACTCTGACACAATTTATTTTCTATTGCAGTTGACTTTGGGTGACCTTGAATGACCTTAATAATAGGTCATTGTATTCGCCTTGAAACACTCTATCAGAATGTAAGTAATAAAATATACTGTTCCATTTAAAAAAACAAAGTTGACCTTCATATCTCCTTGACGCCTCCACCTACAAAAAAATTGGTAATACCAGATTATGAGCCCCCCGATACCAAATAAGTTTGGTCTAATGCATTTTCTCCTATCTTCAAAAACAAGCGAGTTATTCAGGTGACCTGTTTAAAATGCCTCACCCTGTATATAGCACCACGCTTAGAACAATGCATATTATTAATTGTGTTTTACATCTTGTCGATGTTGATACGGTATTGTTTTCCTTTAACCCTCGAATGGCGGACCGTCTTAACGACCATTTTGACCCTTTGCCTGAATTTTATTATTTCTCATTCAAGTAAAAAATTTCTTATTGGAAATTTATTAAAAAATGACCGGAATCAATCATTAGATCTATTTTACAATTTCTCGCTCCTGAAATTTATATTTATTAGAGTTTCCCTTTCTATCCCCATTTATCAATGTCTATCAACGGTCGTATATAAATTAGTTTGCAATTAAAAGATGATTTTATTTACAAAGTTTTAAAAGCAGTCCTTCGTTGATGCAAAGTGATTAAACGTGTGATTAACGAGAGAATTTGCAAAGTTCTTTGCAAAAAGAAAATAATATATAACTAACGATAATAGAATCGAGAACGTTTTTTGTAACAATCGTCGAAATTTCTCACGAACGCGACGTCAAGGCGAATTGGAGGTGGTTTTACGAAACATTTTTACGTTTCGAACCACGTTGCAGTAAATGCTTTTTAGTCGTCGAATAGGGTACTGTAAATAGCGTAAATGAAACATGATAGCGATTCCAAATTCTCGACTGCCAATGTGTTACAAAAAAAAAAATTTTAAACAATTTTCTAAATGTACGCGTACAGCGAACCAAGCTATAGGTATAGGCGCACACACATAGCGTACGATTATTAAAATATTTGACACCGTAACTATTACGAAATCTGTATATTACACAGTACGAGACTCGAAGGGGTTTTAAGATCGATTGTGTCTTATTTAATGCTACGGTGTAAAAAAAAAATATATAGCGTGTATATTTTTTGTTCGTATAGAGGATATTTAACAAATTGTCGAGAATAATATTAAATATTGTTATTACGCGTAGCTGCGTGCAAATGGCACTGAACGTCGCATTATAAAAGATGGTACGTTAGAATTGTTACGAAGATGCTTGTTCGTAGGCAAAGTCTTCTATTTACGCCATCGTGGATCAGAGAGTTGAAACGTGTTTTTTTTTTTTTACTGTATGCTAATAAACTGAGCCAACGTGAGCTAATAAATTTAATCGATCCTGCTCCGAGTCTTGGACCTCCTGGTCCCGCTATCTTTTCTCAATTTTATATAAATAATTGATTTCTCTGGAACGAATAGATCTTTAATAAACGTCGATGATGGGATTTGCGTGCACAGTGAGCTACGAAAATATTAAAATGCTTGTAAATTAAATCAAATAGTTGGAAATATTGTTATTGTTACAGTAAAACACAAAATACAGGGTGTTCGGACACCCCTGGGAAAAATTTTAATGGGAGATTTTAGAGGCCAAAATAAGACGAAAATCAAGAATACCAATTTTTTGATGGAGGCTTCGTTAAAGAGTTATTTACGTTTAAAGTTCCACCTGTGAGCAGCGTGAACCACTATCGTGCGCGCGCAGCTGTTCGTAGATTGCCGTTCTACAGACGGAACTTTAAACATTAATATCTCTTTAACGGAGCTTCAATCAAGAAATTGGTATTCTTGATTTTCGTCTCATTTTGGTCTCTAGAATCTCCGAGTAAAATTTTTCCCCCGAGGTGGCCGAACACCCTGTATTTACGAGACTCGAAGAATATATTGTAAGGTTTGTAGCAGTCGCGAAGCATTTATACGAAAAAAAAATTATAGAAAGATGTGTGTGTACTTCTTGAAAATTTGTCTATAGAATTATGGTATGCTTTGTTTTATGTGCAACAATATCTTGGTAACTTTGGTATTCGTTTACGTACCTTTTGCAAACGTTAGAATAGCTTTACCAAAACGTTTTTAGAGAGTCTTAAAAATTAACGAGACCGTAATTTTCAAAATTGAAAATATACAGCTAGGAGTATAAGGAAAGGGAAATTGTAAGACGAAATGAGAGTTTTAAAAATTAGACGCATTTTCGTTTATTCTTTTTATTTATCAACGTTATCGACAATTTACGAAACAGTGAATATTTAAAAATCCTCCTTCTGTTCTCCAGTTCCAGATTAACGAAAGAATAATAGGCGAAGAATTCTAACATTGTAAATATTGTATATAGAGCGAGTGTGCGTTTCGAATATGCGTACGATAAATAATTATAAATATGTATGTATATAATATAGTATCACGCCGACGATGATGCCAGCTATGTTAATATTAAAATTACTGGAACTATTAATCATGATAATACATGTAGAAAAAGGGTAGTAATGGCTGCAGTTACGTTTAGGATATTGTATAATAACGAGTAATAAACGAAATATCGAGCAAGAGCGATGGCGTAACGGAATAACGATATTATTAGGTAGCTCCTCGAGAACTCGTAATGTTATTTTCAATATAATTGTACTCGGTAATAGACAGAGTAACGATACTTACGCGACGATTATGTATCGGACTACAAGGAAGCCCTCTCCTTTCATTTTTACGAAAGAAAGAAATATATGACGATGAAAATTTTTACGTGATCTCGTTACTCATCCTCCATTAAAAAAACACCCGACGACAGTTTTAATTATTAATATAAAATTCAAAATCTGTGTGTTTGTGATTCCCCCATAACGTCAACTATTTTATTTCATACGAGATAGACGTATGTAAAGTAGGAATTACAGTAGTGCCCACATAAATGACCAAACTCGGAATCGGATTCGGTCATTTATGTGGGCAAGGTTAGTTCTCAGAATTCAACGAAGAGCTGAGAAAAATTTGAATGGGAGATTCTAGAGGTCAAAATAAAACGAAAATCAAGAATACTAATTTGTTGATGGAGGCTTCGTTAAAAAGTTATTAACGTTTAAAGATCCACCCATACTGAATTTTTTTCTAGAAAATGGTTAAGATTAAGGGGGTATGTCTATTGACCAAAAGTGATTGTAATTGACCCCTGTAACTAAGTATATTTTTTTTAGTATGATTTGAAAATTTTTAATTTCGTCGAAAAATTTGTCCACTTACTTAATTTTTTTCTCGAAAATGGTTAGGATTTCGGGGCTATATCTATTCACCAAAAATGCCTGTAATTGACCCCTGTAACTATATATAATTTTTTTAGTATGATTCGAAATTTTTTAATTTCGTCCAAACATTTCAGTAGCTACTCGAATTTTTTTCTCGAAAGTGGGTAGGATTTCGAGGGTATGTCTATTGACACAAAATGATTGTAATTGAGCGCCGCAATCAAAAATTAATTTTTCAGGATGATTTGGAATTTTTTAATTTAATTTTTTAATAACTTTTTAATGAAGCCTCAGTCAAGAAATTGATATTCTTGATTTTCGTCTTATTTTGGCCTCTAGAATCTCCCATTAAAATTTTTCCCAGGGGTGGTCGAACACCCTGTATATTATTGTAAAATTAGATTTATTATAAAAATTCCTTACCGAAAATATAATCTGAGGCCTGAAATTGTTCCCCGATGTGAATCTTTGTAGCATTATAACTTTTGAACAGATTGGATGATTTTAAAGTTTCAAAATGCGAACAACGCGTATTTTGATGTAGAATACGTAGACATTCCAAAAATGTTCGAAAAGTTGTTCCTTAATCCCGTAAAATGAAAAAAACCCCATAAAAATGGTTCAATTTTCAAACGGCCATAACTCCTATAATAATGAATATATTTCAATGAAATTTTGAGGGGAACTAGAGTTCATGGATACCTACAAAAATGTACTAAACAACTTCTCTGTACAACGCCAACCAAATTTATTAAAAATGAAAATCAATGTTTTAAGAAAAATCAACAGGTACTAGCTATTGAAATTCGGCGAAAAAAAAATTTCAAATCGTTCTGGAAAAATTATTTTCAGTTGCAGGAATTAATTACAATAATTTTTGGTCAATAGTTATACCCCCGAAATTCTATCCATTTTCAAGGAAAAAATTAGAATTGCTAAACAAATTACACTGCGAAATTAAAATATTTTAAATCATTCTGGAAAAATTATTTTCGAATGCGAAGTTCAATTACAATCATTTTTGGTCAACAGACATACCCCCAAAATCCTAACCATTTTCGAGACAAAAATTCGAGAAGGTATGAAATTTTTCGACAAAATTAAAAAATTTCAAATTATTCTAAAAAAATTATTTTTATTTGCTCGAGTCAATTGCAATCATTTTTGGTGAATAGATATACCCCCGAAATTCCGCGCATTTTCGAGAAAAAAATTCAGTACGAGCGGAAGTTTAAACATTAATAACTTTTTAATGAAGCCTCAGTCAAGAAATTGATATTCTTGATTTTCGTCTTATTTTGGTCTCTAGTATCTCCCATTAAAATTTTCCCCAGTTCAAATTACACTTGATGGGGATAACTCTGGTCACTTATGTGGGCAAAAATCCGGTCACTTATATGAGCACTACTGTACTTATTTGTAATCGTATAAATTGTTTAAGACGCGAGAATTTTATGCTAAAATAACGGGTTTCTAGAGTTTTTAGAGTATTAAAATTTATTATTTTTGTAATAAGTGTTCCATGTGTATTCGTTCAGCTTCTCACATAACGTGTTCACATTTACACTGTCGCAAATACGATTTACATGGTCTATCTTTATAAATACAGTACATCATGTTCGCATACACGCAAAAACATCCCACACTCAGGCTTCGGAATATTAGTTATTAATCCTATGCAAAATAGAGACAACGAGAAGAAAACTAAAGTTATACTTATACTTATTTATCGGGAATAGAATCGTTACTTGATTTGTAACTTAACGGGACAGGCATCACAGCAAAACAGTTGCGAACTTCGAATATCAAAATAGAATTTCACAATAAAATTTGAACGATAGAAAATTAAAAATTAATATTTCTTAATTTTAATTAATACATTAATCATCGAAGCTTGACAACCTTTGGAGTATATGTATATTTCTTTCGTTATTTTAAATCTACCACTTATATTGGCCGCAGAAAATTTCTTTTCTTTTCAAATGGTCCCTTTAATTTGTCGTTTTTATCGTTTACGGAAATACAGCGCCATTCTCTCGAGTATTGAAATCTAGTTGCATTCAGCTGTATGATAGATCAATTTGTAAAAGAGATCGAACGTCGAAGCAACACGAGATCTGGTTGCGAGGTATACCATTTAACAAAAATATAGCTTTTCGATTTTCTATCTATCGAGTTCTAAAATACTGGTGAAATATACGTAAAATTTTTACTATTCTAATTCTAACGATATACACGTAGAAAGCTTATGCAGATCCTAGCTTACGAGATTATCGTTTAAACGTATCAACATGTTTATCCATAAAAGAACAAATTTGATCCAACGAGCGAATTTCGTTATTTACACGTTAACGCGAATAGTTCGCAACTTTCAATACTCGTTTTCGTGTTTTTAAATAGGTAACAATATCATCATTTTGTAAATGATGCAAACGTCTAAATATCATTTGTATACGTAACAAAATAATTACACGAACGTTTACAACATTACACGCGTCATTCGATGTCACGATATAGCAGATATTGTTTCTCAAATATTCATCTACATAACGTTCGTACAATTTGTTAAGTTCTAGATAACAGTTCGATGGTATTTTACACGACGCAATAGACTACGGAGGAATAGTATTAAAATAGTTTGGCAAATGAAGATGAGCAGTTCGAAGGAGGCAAATGAAAGAAACACGGTCGCAGAAACTGTTTTCGTTTTTGGAACATTTTGTTCTAACAAAATATTTCGCGAGAAATGTTTCCAAGTCGAACAACGTTTACGTTCTGCATGGATATGATATGGAATGATCGATCATCGCACCTTGCAATAAGCATACAATTATTTCTTCTCTCTCTTCTTTCCCGCGTCGTTGATTGTTCAACTCTTCTTCCTCGGAAGCATGAGTGCCAGTAATCCTCCAACTGTAAATAATCGATCGTTTAAAATGCTATTTAATGTATGCATTTTCCTATCGTTTGCCAATAATTTGAATACAGTATAGTTTTGAAACTTAAAGAAAACATAAACAAACTCTGTGTTAAAATTATTCTTTGGAATATTGTGGTTGCAGTAAAGAATCTGTTTACAAAACACAAGCAAACTATGTGTTAAAATAATTCTTTGGAATATTGTGGTTGCAGTAAAGAACTACTGTGAAGAATCTATTTCTTGTTATCGTTATTCGTTACGAAATAGAGTAGCAAGTAAAGATTAGGAAGTGATTTATAGCTACGTGTAGTTTACATCTTATTAGAGAAAGATAATCTTCATTTAAAAATTTTATAGTTGAAAAGTTTACAGAATTTTCGTTCGAATTATGACTCGAACGTGTTTGGATAAGTTTCGGGAGCTTCGAGACTCGAAGAAAAGATTAAAGCTAGTTATCGTAGAAATAAAATTGTTCACTTACGAATCACTAGACCGCCGACCAAGAAAATGGGCACTTCGCAACTGATGTCGAGCAACATTCCGAAAGCCAAATTGCTAGCGATCGCGCCGATTCTGCCAAAGCAGGTCATCATACACATCGCGACAGCGCCCACGCGAGTTGGAAATATGTCGACCACGATGCTACCCATTACGAAATTCGCGGTTACTATCGTCAACGAGAACAGGCAGGTCACGATCAGTATTTGCAACGAGGACCTGACGAAGTATATACCGAAACCAAACGCGCCAGCCAACAGCATCGTTGTCACTGAAAACGATTAAAACAAACGCGATTAAAACACGGTCGAAGAATTCTCAAGAAAAATAGCCCAAGTGCCAAAAAGGTAATCTTTTGTATTTAATTTCATGTAAATTTGTGATCAAAGATAAAATAAGCGTGTAACTTTTCATTTCTCTTACTAAATTTAAAAAAGGACACTGCAAGTACTGATTCTAATAAGAAAATTAGCGCAAGTACCAAAAAGGTAATCTTTTGTATTTAATTTTACGAAAATTTGTGACGTAAAGATAAAATAAGCGTGTAACTTTTCATTTCTCTTACTAAATTTAAAAAAGGACACTGCAAGTACTGATTCTATTAAGAAAAATAGCGCAAGTGCCAAAAAGGTAATCTTTTGTATTTAATTTCACGTAAATTTGTGACGTAAAGATAAAATAAGCGTGTAACTTTTCATTTCTCTTACTAAATTTAAAAAAGGACACTGCAAGTACTGATTCTATTAAGAAAAATAGCGCAAGTGCCAAAAAGGTAATCTTTTGTATTTAATTTCACGTAAATTTATGACGTAAAGACAAAATAAGCATGTAACTTTTCATTTCTCTTACTAAATTTAAAAAAAGGACACTGCAAGTACTGATTCTAATAAGAAAATTAGCGCAAGTGCCAAAAAGTAAACTTTTGTATTTAATTTCACGTAAATTTATTACGTAAAGACAAAATAAGCGTGTAACTTTCCATTTCTCTTACTAAATTTAAAAAAGGACACTGCAAGTACTGATTCTATTAAGAAAAATAGCGCAAGTGCCAAAAAGTAAACATTTGTATTTAATTTCACGCGAATTTGCGACCAAAGATAAAATAAGCGTATAACTTTTCATTTTTCTTGATTAACTTTTAATCTCGAATTAAAATGGGCGAAATTAAAAATACCGAGACCAACAAAGACAGTTCCAAAATGAATTCGCCGCGTAAGTGGAGGACTCGTACATCTTTGATTGGTTTGCTCGAATTAAAATAATTTTATCACGTTTACCTGGCATCGTTCGTCGACCAACGCGATTCGCCAGATAGCCGGACGCGATGTTACCGAGCAAGCAGAACGCGTTGATCGTCAACGAATTGATAAACACCATTTTGTCCATGTTGGGACTGCAATTGCTCATGGCGGTCGGTGACTCGACCAAAATGTTGGGCGGAGGCGTCGCGATCCGTTGCAGATCAGTTTCGTGCATTAGCCTGCAAACGCTCACGGTTCGGTTAGGGTATTGATTATGATAGTTCTCGAAACGATTGAACAACTCTGGCAGCCACAAACCCAAACCGTAATACCTGAAAATAATTAATTTTATTCGTACAACGTGTCGATGTACCTGCATCCAGCAAATTAAATAGAGACATGTAATAATTGAACATTAGAGCTTGCAATATTTTGTGTTTCAATCTTATAATAATAGTAAAATAATAAACTCTGTTCGATCAATATATTGATGTAGTCTGGAACGGTAGAGACAAATAATAATTGAACATTAAAGCTTGCAATATTTTGTTTTTGAATCTTATAATATTAGTAAAATAATTAATTCTGTTCGATCAATATATTGATGTAGTCTGGAACGAGCAAATTAAATAGAGACAAATAATAATTGAACATTAGAGCTTGCAATATTTTGTGTTTCAATCTTATAATATTAGTAAAATAATTAACTCTGTTCGATCAATATATTGATGTAGTCTGGAACGAGCAAATTAAATAGAGACAAATAATAATTGAACATTAGAGCTTGCAATATTTTGTGTTTCAATCTTATAATATTAGTAAAATGATTAATTCTGTTCGATCAACATATCGATGTACTTGAAACGAGCAAATTAAATAGAGTAAAATTAAACACTAGAGCTTGCAATATTTTGTGTTTTGTATTGGTCAGCATTTTAATGAGTATGCTCTAACGTAACGCAAAGTGTGTGTTTTATGAAAAAATTTACCCAAACATGTTTGTGAAATAAATGGCCCAAGTGAGGAGCGCGTATTGCAGAAGCGGCGGTGACGCAAGAGAACGCATTTGTTGCCAAATATTTTTCAATAATTCCGTTAATATGCCCGATCCGGAGAGGGCTGTCTTGTTGTTGCTAGTATTTACAGTATCATCGGGCAACAAGATTTTCACCTATATAAAGAAATAGACGATCATTGTCACGTAATTATTTTCATTTTTAAATAATAAAGCGATTTTCGACGATGGATTGAAATTATTGTGGTCCCTTTTTTTTAGAAAAATTTTTATTACTTACGGGGTATTCGTCCTCGTGTTGGCCAGTGTTTATCGCGAAGATTTTTCGTAAAATCGCCAATGCTTCTTCCGTTTTGCCTTGAGAGATTAAGAACTTTGGGCTCTCGGGGTATCTGGTGGCTACCAGGGTGACCATTAACGTTGGTATTCCAATCATGGCCAAGAAGAGTCGCCAAGAGTTGTACAGAATGCCGTTGAATTGAAGCGATATTGGCAGTGGTATGATTATCCAAGCCAAACCTGGAAAAGGAAGAGTAATTATTATCTTCACCCCTCAATTTCGAAATAAAGAAGCAAGCTATTATTATTGAAATAATAGAGCAACTGAAAGTATAGGATAGGCTCCTTTAGAAAATTTGTTAAACTTTACCAGGTAGAATTAACCAGGAAAGGGTCCAAAAGAACCCCACGTAGCAGATCGATTTTACCCTTTGTTTTTCCGCGTGAAATTCACCAAGGTACGTATAGATCAATGATCCAGGCGCACCGATGCTGCAGAAAATTATTTATAAAAAATAAAAAAACCAAAGAAAATTTGTAGATCGCGATTAAAAAGACGAAAGAATACTTACAAAAATCCATTGAGAGCTCTGAAAATCAACAGGACTTGGAAGCTCTGCGAAAGGCTTCCTCCGATCGACAAAATGCTATCGAACAGCATAGTTAGGAGAAGAATGTATCTTCTGCCATAAGCGTCAGCGAATACTCCCCAGAAAAGGGAACTGATCACTCCTCCTAAAAAAGAAAATATGATCTAAATATCTGGCGTAAACAAAGGCCCGTATCTCTGTTACTATCGATTGTATCGAACATTTATACGGAACAAAAGTGTTTCTAAATTTAATTTCCAATTAGTTTCGTTATCTATGTTTTCCTTGTAAAAGCAACGACAAGAGAGATATCTCGTTTTCTGACTCTTCGTATAAGAAAATTCTATTTGACCCATCGACGAGAAAAATTGGGAAAAAAACTATTGCAACAAGTTCACGTTTCTTGGTATTAATTTTAAGACTGTAAGTCTATGGTGCCTCTCTCTGATAAATAGTAGTCTTAACGGCAAAGTTAATCGACGTTAATCGCGCGAGCAGTGAGTAGGACGTTATATAAAAACTGTTCTTCAATTTTCCTAATGAAATAAGTGCTATCGAACGTGTCTAATACGTTGCAATAAATGTGCACGTTGATAGAAATAACGTATGCTTCGATGGAACTGACCTAGCCGTCTCGGAACCCCCCCATTTTGGAACTGTTTCAAAGTCTGTTCTACCGATCAACCGTGGCTACCGTATGCATTAGGTTCAAATCGTCTGTTTCCTAACTAGGTAAACTTTCCGTTTTCACAGACGATGTGTTTTAATAATTAAACGTAACACGCTAAGAGGAAGCGTTCACAGAATAAAAATACAATACTCGACGCGAGATACTGCGTTTTGTTTGTAAATAGGTGGAAGTAGTTCAACTACGTTCGATCTTACGAAAGAATTATTCCAGCGTAAAAGTTGCCATAACTCGAACAACTTTTTTTCAAAGCATTTCCCTTTATTCTTTTATGCACACACTGGACTAATAGCAGTGCCTCGATTATTGCAAAAAATTGGAATTTCCACTGACGGAGGTAAAATTCTTTTACAAGGGTTTTAAATTTCTGTATAATTTATTTATTGATAGTTTGGTTCGATAGTATACCAAATGGATAATTTGTATTGTTTTAAAATTTCATAGCTCTTGAAGAGTTTATATTTAATATTTTTCCGTATGTACACTCGACTAACAGTAGTGCCTCGATTATTGCAAAAAATTGGAATTTCCACTGATGGAGGTAAAATTCTTTTACAAGGGTTTTAAATTTCTGTATAATTCATTTATTGATAGTTTGGTTCGATGGTATACCAAATAATCAAATTCACGTTAATTATCTGTCTGTAGAATTTAATTTCAAATGGATAATTTGTATTGTTTTAAAATTTCGTAGCTCTTGAAGAGTTTGTGTTTGACAAATACTTTGAACGAACAATGTTTGATAAAAGTTTCCGTACCCACGAGGAAGGAGACGTTCAGGAGACCTTTTTGTTCAGATGATAAGTTCAGATCACATTCCGCGGATGGCAAGATGTATGCGTTTATGCCATTTTGGCAACCGACGCAGATGAACATCGCGCCGCAGAGAAATAGAAAACAATAGTGAAACCTTCCATATCCTGAGGATTAAAAATTAAATTAGTCGTGGGGCTCGTGCTAAATAGAAACCACTAAATTATTAGTGGACTTAAACTACATATTCAACTCTTAGAAAAAGAAACAAGAAGAAAGTATTTATTTGAATTTTTATTCAATTCTAAGGCTAGTGTTCCCAAGATAGCTTGTGATATTTAAAAAAAAATATTCCAATTTCCTCAGCTTTATGTTTGCTAAATTTAAGAAATTTTAGAAATAAATTTTTCAATTTTGATATCTTAATACTAAATATACAGGGTGTTCGGCAACCCCTAGGAAAAATTTTAATGGGGGATTCTAGAGGCCAAAATAAGACGAAAATCATGAATACTAATTTGTTGATTGAGGCTTCGTTAAAAAGTTATTAACGTTTAAAGTTCCGCCCGTACTGAATTTTTTTTCCGAAAATGCGCAAGATTTCGGGGGTATGTCTATTCACCAAAAATGATTGTAATTGACCCCCGCAACCGAAAATAATTTTTCCAAAACGATTTGAAATTTTTTTTTCCGCCGAAAAATTTCACACCTCGAATTTTTTTCTAGAAAGTGGATAGGATTTCGGAGGTTTGTGTATTCACCAAAAATGATTGTAATTGACCCCCACAACCGAAAATAATTTTTCCAGAACGATTTGAAATGTTTGAATTTAATTGTTAATAACTTTTTAACGAAGCCTCCATCAACAAATTGTTATCCTTCATTTTCGTCTTATTTTGGCCTCTAGAATCCCCCATTAAAATTTTTCCCGGGGGTGGCCGAACCCTGTATAATAAATTCTCTATTTTTAAAGCGTTGGAAGTGTGTCTATCTGTTACAGCTATTTTTTCCTTGCTAATCTGGATTATCTCGTATTATTATTCATCTCCCTAAATTAATCTGGATTAAAAAGGTTTTATCGTATTCCTTACCGCAGAGTTTGATAGCTTTCTCGAAGTCTGCAGTTCCTTCCTTACCGCCATGATTATTTTCTAAAATAAACAAAAATTAAATTAATTTCTCTCGAGATTTTACTTCTCAAGTAACGGAATCTAAATGCACAATATTTTCTGAAAAATATAGTCAATTCCAATCACACGTTTGTAATTCTCGAACGAGGATTACGTGAATTAATTTTGCCATTATTTTTTTAATTCTGCTAAACTCAAATGAATGTATATAGTTGTTATTGCATAAAAAACAAATATTTATTTTCAAGCAAAAATGTTGTCTTTTAATGCACGAGCAACTAGATAATTTCACGATTATTTAGTTCTTATTTGCCACGTGTTGATCGACAAGGACGTTATTGCTGTAGATGTTAAAAGCATTTGCATGCTCTTGTGTTTGTTATCGTTTCCTCAAATTTTTAATGTAAATTCCGCGATATTTACGAAACAAAATTAAAACACCCAATTCTTTCAGTTTTTATTTTCATCGCATTGTTCTACGTTAATACGAATAGAAAAACATAAAAGAGCTGACGTTTCTTTTTCGTTAATTTTTTTTATCAAAAATGTTATTATACCGATATGTTCTTAATTATAAACTGTAGTACGAAAACATCCGCGATATCAAATGCGATAAGCATTTTAGCCCCAAGTATTTCGTAAGAATTTTCCATACGTAGAGTAGGATACTATTCTTGATGTTCTATCGAGTAGCTTTTAATTACTATTAGCACAATCAAGATAGTGACACCAGCAATTGATGGTAAATGCACAGTAGGTGAAGTCCATTAAATTTGTCTTTACAAGAGATCGAGATAACTCTAGTCGGAAAGAATAGTATTTAACTCGTTGAATAAATGAACTGCAGTGGTTATAAAATCAGTGATTAAATACAAAGGGAGATTTTATCTCGTTGAACAGAGTATTATACTAATTATTTGATTGGTAAATTTGTGCCAATCAAATGCAAATAACAAGTTTCTATTATCGAAACGATCGAATAATTTTTCATAATTTTAACGTGTCGGGAAGTCGATCGAATTCAAACACTGAATTAAAAATCTGTTACTCGTCCTGTTTAGGTGATTTCATCTTTAATGTATATTTATATACCCGTTTAATAGTTTACACCGCGTGTAATATAATATCGTTATCGAGCAGGTCTGTCTAAAGTTTGTATAGAAATTTTGGCGCGAAAACACTATCGGTGTCTCTTGATTTCAAGTTATGGCTCGTTTCGAATTAACGTGGATGGTTTGGTCACACGCATCGGTGAATCAATTCCAGCGCAAGTGGTTAACCGAACAGTCTTGTCTCTCTATTAGTACAGATAATGGAGGTTCTACTGTATATCATTATAAGGCTGCTTTAATCGGATCTGTCAGGTTCCTACGATGAAAACGATACCAAATATGAATGTATTTCGATGATTTCAAGTCAAACAAGGAGGAGGAATATAAAATAAATACAGTTGGGCCTCTGTAGATCGAAGCATTACTAATTTCTCTTTGTACATACTGGATAACAAAACAATTGAACAAATAAAATAAACCAGTTGGTATCCATGACTCGAGGAGGTGGTTCAAGCAAACTGTTACATTTTTAATTAAACGATCAATGGTATTATTCTTTTATCGACGACGACACGTTTGCCTCGCGAAATAATACCAGTTGTTGGCTGTTTTCAAAAAATTTTTATCCCTCACGAAAGTACAATGACAGATTTGTAAAATGCGCCTCGTGTGCTTAACCTCTGCCGGCCGCCATTGTAAAAGCGCGTGGTCGCTTTTGGTAGGTTTCTGCGTCAGGTTAATTATGCCATTGTGTATGTGAAATGCAATTGTGCCTCAAGGTTGAGGTCAATTAATATTAACAAAAAAACTTGGTGTGCCTAACCCTTCCCCCCCATGATCCAACCTTGTGCTCGATGACGCATATAAATCGCTGTGAAAAGTCATTGTGCGATCGATCTGCCAGGAGTTTGCAACTAGGTGGGGTTAGGCAAACTAAATGCTTATTGGGGAACATAAAATTTAAAAAAAGACGTGTTCTCGAGCCGTACTGTTCCCGAGATATTCTAAAAGTGTGTTCTCAACGCCTCCATTTTGGGATACTTTCGCCCTTCCCAAAATGAACGTCGGTCGATTTAGAAAATACGTGTCAAATATTCGATCGAAAACTACCTTTCCTATAAATTTTATTAAAATCAATTTTAAAATTCCACGTGGCGGGCGTACAATACGATTCGTAAATCAGCGTAAGTAGAAATGGCGAGCAATGGACAGACGCGTTAGGCAAATCGTGTTCATTTGCGCACGAAACAAATTTTGTCATAGTTAATATTCGTATCGTTTCTTTAATTTGTGTTCACGTTAATTTTCATTAGTCTCGTTACATTTTTTTTTGCATGGATATCGAAACACTGTCGATCTCGGTTATTCGATCTGTTATTAATTTAAAAAAAAATAGTTGACTGCAAGTATTTTCACCGTATCGGCGTTGATCGCCGCTGTAAAATCTTTCCGTCGGTATTGTCGAATGTTTATATGCGACAGAACATTGATCAGCGCCCTTGGAAGTTAAAAATAAAAAGAATATACCGTAAGAAAGGATCCAAGATAATTGCATCGACCGACCAACTGTAAACACGAAGCAAATGAAGCGCTAATTGAAGGAACAATTGTATTTTGACATTTCGGTGGGGTCCATTATGCAACCGCGTGCGCATTCAAGTGCACGGCGATGCACCTGCAGATCGGTTACGCGTATTTTTCTTTTTTTTTTTTTTTCAGCAAGCACATCGACGAACAGAGACGATCGAAGTGTTGGACGAAATTATATCACCGACGATGAAAGGAAGTAATTATTACGACATCGATAATAATGATCCCTTTGATCATTGATCTACGGAGACACCCACCGACAGATGTCACATTCCGTGAAATTTGAAAAGAAGCCAATTATGCTTTTTCAGAAACTGGTACGCGTCGTAAACTAGAAGCGAAATAGTCGTTTACTACGAGTTTAGCCAACGTAAGAGGGATCAGTTATTTTTCTGTAAGAATGCACAGTGTCGACGAGCTCCTCCTACGTTTACCTGTTTATCGTTTGGCTTTTTTTAAAAAAGTGCATTTGGTGATTTCGTAAATATTTGATATTATTTAAAACCGGGCTGTCGAGATTTGCGTTGGTATTTATTTTCTAATCTGACGAAACGATTAATTTTTCGCAACAGCGGTGACGCAAGAAACAAAATTCTGACAATTTTTGAGTCAATAACCGAGGAACGATCACGTTCGCGAGCCGATTGACGTAAAAATGTCGAGTATCGCGCGCTCGGGCGCACCTGAGAATGCATTTACGGCGGACTCGTTTCTGCGTAAATGCGATACCGGTTGAAATTGTTATTAATTTGATTATTGTCGCGCTATTTAGCGACGATGCGCAACTGCAATCACTGACGCAAGAAGAAAACTGGCGAGGCACGTTCCCGCATATTTTTCATTGATGTCGGCGAATTCGCTGAGATAGTTGCGTTTCCGATTGTTTACGAAAAAAAGCGCGTATGCTGCGTATTCAGTTTCGAATATTTAGGGTCGAGTGTATCTTCCAATTGAAGTTAACTGACCATTAAACAGAAGTTGAGAAATGTATCGAAGTATGTTATTAAAGTTATTATTGTCAGATTTTGTTGAGATCTCTCGTGTTACTAATGCTGTTCCATCGAAAGAAAGACACCGAATAAAACCTGAATAAATATTTCATAGATTGTTGATAGATCAAGACGGTGCTCGTAAAATGAAAATTAATAAAAAGAACTGCGGAAGACATTTTACGGTTTAAATTACGTTTTTCAGGAGTTCAATCTTTGTTTAACACTAGAACTACCAAATCAGTCAAAATGACCCATTCGTAATTTCTAATAAAACTTGTAAAAAATTTACTCGACCGAATGTTTGAAAATTTATCGTAATTTTCTATGAGAGAATATATAAACACTTATTTCCATTGCATTATATATTTCTTCGCGTATCTATCGTTTCAATTTCTTTGGTACAAATAAACACACTATAATTGTCGGTAGTTCTATTGTTAATAAGCCTGGGCATTTTAATTTATATACGAAGCTTTAAACGATTCTATCCGAAAATTGAATATTTAAACGTTGTTCTTGTTATTTATTATGCGTTTTTTGTAGTCCATGCATGAATTCTATGTACTTGAACTTCGTCGTTGTGTAACACTATAGTCGAGCATGTTGAAATTTTGTGCATGTTCCAGAATGGTAAATAGCGACAAAGCTAACGTAGATTCTCAAATAGTGTTTAATCGAGAGGAAACAAAGTATAGAAATGATACAAATTATTAGATTGAATTTTTCCATTTCTATGGATCTATCCATGCGTTAGAATTATCAGATGTTTCTAAATGATTATGTCATTTGTACTCATTGAATACTATCTATACAATAGAGATAGAGTTAAATGACTATATTAAAGATATCATCATATTATTCAGATTTATAATGTATGTAAGATCGTAATCGATTCGTACAATGTTTGTTAGAATGATATACATATGTAGATTTATCGTTTACCATATCGAAGAAGACCAAAGTACAGGATCGAAATCATTTTCTACAAAGAAGATGATTTCACCGATATCGATCAAATTATTCTTCTAATTTATCATACTAAAAAAGACCAAAGTATGAGACCACAAACTGCATGAAACTACGTGCTGCAGCTTTAATTTCGTACTTAGGGTATCAACAGGATCGAAACCATTTTATATAAAGAAGTTAATTTCACCGATATCGATCAAATTATTCTTCTAATTTATCGTACCAAAGAAGACCAAGGTATGAGACCACAAACTGCATGAAATTACGTGCTGCAGCTTTAATTTCGTACTTAGGGTATCAACAGGATCGAAACCATTTTATATAAAGAAGTTAATTTCACCGATATCGATCAAATTATTCTTCTAATTTATCGTACCAAAGAAGACCAAGGTATGAGACCACAAACTGCATGAAACGACGTGCTGCAGCTTTAACACTAGAGCCGACAATTATAGCGTGTTTATTTGTACCAAAGAAATTGAAACGATAGATACGCGAAGAAATATATAATGCAATGGAAATAAGTGTTTATATATTCTTTTATAGAAAATTACGATAAATTTTCAAAAATTCAGTCGAGTAAATTTTTTACAAGTTTTATTAGAAATTACGAATGAGTCATTTTGACTGGTTTGGTAGTTCTAGTGTTAATTTCGTACTTAGGGTATCAACAGGATCGAAATCATTTTCTACAAAGAAGCTGATTTCACCGATATCGATCAAATTATTTCTCTAATTTATCGTACCAAAGAAAACCAAAGTATGAGACCAAAATTTCGTACTGATATATTTTTCCATTCGCTCGTTCCCCAAAGGAAAGCCCAAAACAGATCGATCGGAAAATTCATCGGTGAAATTTAATTCCACCGATCGCCCGGAACACAGCTTCGTTACCATCTCGATTGTTAATTTGGATCAACACTCGTATACTTTTACGAACATCGTTTTTCCCCGATGTATGTCCCCGTTTCCCATGTTAGAAATCACTAAAGAGAGCCGTTGTCAAAAATTTAGCATACTGACCCACTGAGAAGGATAGAGATGCTATTTGGTTCACCATCGCTCCCAAAGAACTGCCTTCTGTCTGTCAATATCTGGCCGAGTACTGGTCTGCGAAAAGTCGGCGGGATCCTCCGTTGTTTCGTTGCCGTCGCGATCGAGACGGAAAACGTCCACGTGATAGACGGTCGCGGCGCTTTTAAGTATTATCACGCATGTGCACGATCAGTCGACGACGAATGGGAGCGGGATCCTTCGACGCCGAAAATCGTCTCCCTACCTGGCTCGATCGATCAAATCCGCGCACGTTCGCAACGCGAATTGACGCACTCGACATTCCTTTCTCCGTTTCGCGATGTAAAACGTGCGAATCCCACGGCCGTACGCGCGTAACCGAATTTTCGTATTTTCCACGTGACGAAAATCGCCTTCGTGGGACGCGCGCTTCTACCGCCCGCCACGGCGAGACCTTTGTTAATCGACGAGTGCCGGTAACGGCGTTCGATCCCGAGAAGTACGATTATTATTTGCTCTTCCGTAATTGGTCTATACACAGGGCGTTGAAAAGAATGGTTCAGGGGCTTAGAGAACGTATAGAAGTCACTAAACTGACGACGAGTAAAAAGGTACTTGGATGGACGCTGCTCGACAAAATATTAGCCTCGTCGAGAGACGAAGTTAGAACACTTTTAGGGCTCGACGAAATGCTCCGCGATCCATTTCGATCGGATGGATGAGAATATATTGTTGGTCGGCGAAATTTTCATAGTTTTATGCAACATTTCTGCGTGTAATGGTCTTCGTCGGAGCACTTACTGAAACAACGTTAATTTCTGTAAATAAATCGAGTGAACTCGAACATAGTTCGAAATAGTAAATTACAGGGCGTTCGACCACCTCTGGGAAAAATTTTAATGAAAGATTCTAGAGGCTAAATAAGACGAAGATCAAGGCTACTAATTTGTTATTGAAGACTTCGTTAAAAAGTTATTAATGTTTAAACTTCCGCCCGTACGGAATTTTTTTCTAGAAAGTGGGTAGGATTTCGGGGGTATGTCTATTCACCAAAAATGCTTGTAATTGACCCCTGTAACTTAATATAATTTTTTTAGTGTGATTTTAAATTTTTTAATTTTGTCGAAAAATTTCACACCTCGAATTTTTTTCTCGAAAATGGTTAGGATTTCAAGGGTATGTCTATTGACTATAAATGATTGTAATTGACCCCTGCAACCAAAAATAATTTTCCCGGAACGATTTGAAATTTTTTAATTTTGTCGAAATATTTCACATCTTCTCGAATTGTTTTCTCGAAAGTGGGTAGGATTTCGGGGTATGTCTATTCACCAAAAAATGCTTGTAATTGACCCCTGTAACTAATATAATTTTTTTGGTATGATGTTCAATTTTTTAATTTTGTCGAAAAATTTCACACCTTGTCGAATTTTTTTCTCGAAAGTGGGTAGAATTTCGAGGGTATGTCTATTGACCAAAAATGATTGTAATTGTCCCCCGCAGCCGAAAATAATTTTTCCAGAACGATTTGAAATTTTCTTTTTCGCCGAAAAATTTGTCTACCTATTCGAATTTTTTTCTCGAAAATGCGTAGGATTTTGGGAGTATGACTATTGATAAAAAATGCTTGTAATTGACACCTGTAACTAAATATAATTTTTTCAGCATGATTTGAAATTTTTTAATTTCGTCTCAAAGTTCCAGTATCTACTCGAATTTTTTTCACGAAAATAGTTAGGATTTCGGGGGTATGTCTTTTGACCAAAAATGCTTGTAGTTGACCCCTGTGACTGAAAATAATTTTTTCGTGAATGATTTGAAATTTTGTTATTTAATTTTGTTAATAACTTTTTAATGAAGCCTCAGTGAAGAAATTGATATTCTTGATTATTCGTCTTATTTTTTAAATTTTTCCAAGGGGTGTGTCGTCTTATTTAGTTTGTAAATACGAAGTTGTACATTTTAATAACGTGTACTAGTGTTGGGCATTGTTCGAGCATAATTTTATTTAAATTATTCCATTTATTCGCTATCTTGCGAAACACGCAGTAAATTCTTTTGTTTCATTATATCTGACCCCTCGGAAATTATAAATAGAAACAGATATTTTATACGAAGCGTAATATCTTACGATTAAAACATATAGTTGATTCATTGGTTCAAAGTGTTATAAATATTTATTCGAGTCTTCTTTATTATAGTAACACGAGCGAAGGTGTGACAGTTAAATAGAATATCGATTCATTCCTAATTCTTCGGGTCAACGAGCCTAATTGCAAAAAGACCGCACCCACGACAAACATTATTACCGATGCTCGCATTTGCGTTAAACGGTATACTTGCATATTGCATATTGCAAAGTGTGCAAAATGTGAAATTTTTTTTTACGGAAATACACATTTTAAGACCCCCTGATCATACTTTAACTATTGAAAAAAAAGAAATTTATGTATTATTTTTCAAAATTAAAATACTTTAAGATCGAAAATTAATAAATTAAACTGAGAGTCCACTCTTTGCCAGTATCGCGCACGCTGTAGCATTCTCCAATAAGAAGTGTTTTTATTTGTATAATATGAACAAAACAGAAGAATTAATTGTTGCAGAAATTAATTAATAATGATTTTCCTCGATATGTTTTGTGATAACTGTGTCAATTTGTTATGACGAACTAAATATTATATGCCATTTTAATACAAAATATGGGTCGGATTGAAAATTTTAAAAGGATATATAGCCGAATATTTTTACAGTTACAAAGCATAGCGTTTAATTTTAGAACAGTAACTTGAGTTAGCAGATAATGTCATAAAGCAGTAGCCAGTCGTAATCGTTATACGTTGTCAGAAGTATCAGGAATAGTCAGCAACGGTCGGCAGAGGCCAGCGGAGGCTGGCAGAAGTCAGTAGTAATCGTTACACGTTGTCAGAAATATGAGCAGTGGTCATCAGAGGCCAGCAGAAGCCAGGAAAGAGACCTAAAGGAAAATATTTTTCTCATTATGTTACTATGCTTATGTGCGCCTACGTAGGTCGGTAAGTAAAATTGCCTGGACAGTTGAGATTCCAAATCGTATGCCGTTGACGTGAAGGTCGGATTTCAGATGTTCAAGAGCGAGAAGGCAAATGTGAGCCTTTCTCTCTCGACTCTCACGAGGCGATCCGAAATTACTTCGGGCAGCTTCGGAGATTCGAGAAAGAGGGCACGTGTCAGTTTGTCTTTGTCGACTCTCCGAAACTCTACGAGCTCACGTACGCGTGATCTGGCATAGTGTGAGACAGTGGAATGAGGTGTCCCCGATGCACCCGGGGCTCCGTCTGCCATCTCCGCGTACAATATAGAAGATAGAGTACTTGATACTGTAAGTTACCCAGAATTTATATGGGTGGCGTTTGTGGACTATTAAAGATGCATTCTTATGTATTTCATATTTTAAGGAAAGAAGATTATGAAATAAATTGCGTAACCTGTTGGTCAAAATACTGAGGAGGAAACAGAGATAGTGGGAATAGCATTCTTAGATCGTTACTTCCATTTTTAAACATGTGAACAAGTATCTAATCTTGGTTGAATTTTTATATCAATGACTAATCCCGTGTTGCACGCGGAACCTAAGTTAACTATGGAATTGTCTCTGATTTTCAAACACGATTGATGAAATAACCTCTATATTTATTTAATTATTGTTTTCTACGGTAAGCAGACTTAGTGTACTTATGTAATAAAAAAAAAAAAACGTAATAATGTTTATCTGAACAGTACAGTTTGTATCATCGTTATTACACTTGTTTACAGTTATATAAATGTGATGTTACAGTTTAACAACAATGTTACAATTTAATACAATTATTGGTACTATAAGTGCTAGATATACTCCTCGATTATGTTGCCGATTTGCTGCATCATTTACAACAAGCTCAGTAGATGCAAATGGAAATGTTAAGAAGGCTGTTAAGGTAAAATGGACTTTTAATCATTTGCTTGGTTTGTATAATGAATTTCTTAGTAATGTCTTAACGATAGTAATGTTCTATTCTGTTAATAAATTAGTGTTGATTTGTTGAAGCTTAATCATCAAGCGACATCCAGGTTAAAAATGTCTCAAGAACAACAAATTAAGTTTAACGAACTTAAAACAATAGTGTATAATTCCTTACAAATGAAGAATACAATTGCATCTAAAATTCAGAAAGCAGAAAATGTGCATGATTTATTGGATCTTATACAAAAGCCAAATTTATCTTCAGATGAAATATTAACAGTTATGAAAACCATTATGAAATGGGTAAATTCGGGTAATGAAAATGTTATAGATATTCAGAATGACAAGAAATTTATATCTATGAAAAAACAAATTCAAAACCCAGATCTTGATTGGTATTCTCATCTTTCCACAGCTAGAATGATTCAGGTACAAAAACTGTAATAATTTCCTGTCTTCCTTATGAATTAAGAAAATATATTTCTGTTTTATTTGATGTAGGAATTGTACAGATTGGCACAAGAGAAAAATAGAAACCTAAAGATTATAAAATTATTAGTCGATAATATTGTTGAGTTTAATAGCCACCTAAATAAAAATCAATGTTCGATCCTAATGTATAGTGTTTGCGTTTTATGTTACTATGACAAGGTAAGTAACTAATATTTATGCTTTGTGGCAAATTAAAAGCTAAACAATAGGAGTGCAAAGTGAAATATATTACAGGAGTTGTTGGAAAAAATTTGTCGTAATCTGATGTTACTATCCTGTGATTATTTCACAATGAATTCAGTATTAAAATCTATGGCAATAATCAGGTATAAAAATACGAAATTTTTACAACATATGACCAGTTTCTTTATTAATTCTCATGATGTATTAGAAAAGAAACGTATCATAAATATTCTACAATCATATGCAAAATTAGGATATAAATCTGAAAAGACAAGTGCGCTCATAAAGGTATGTAGAATGGGAAATAATTTTTAAAGAAATTACAATTATGTATGTTACTGTTATTTCTTATTAATTTTATTCACTATGTAATGTGGTTTTTTTTATGAAAAAGTAAGTTCAAAATTCATTGGACAGATTTGCAATTGCAGAAGAATTAGTATAGCAAATTTGTCAGACCATTTATGATGTATCTATTCATACCTATCCTAAACAGATTCATAATAGTGAGATGCTGTTGCTATTTGTAAATATAAATAAACGAGATACGCTTGCGCTAAAATTTGTTTGATTGATTCTCAATCAAATGTATATATATTTAACTGATTTTAGGAACTGTATATTGCAAAAATAAAACTTCATATGCTAAAACTATATTTTGCAATTTCAATTTATTTTTTCATAAAAAATCACTGCCTATATATTGATTATACCATAATTTCTGAATCACTATACGTAACTCGTTTGAAAGATAATAATAATTAAATGTACTGAATTATTGTTTTCATAATTAGAAATTTATGCCAAGGTTGTCAGAAGATTTATTTGACCCTGATGATTGGTTAAACATTGTTTGGTCTTTACTTGTATTAGATAATGTATTAAATTCACAAGTTAAGACTGTGTTACAAAACTCATTTATTGATAAACTTAACTTTGAGGGTATGTATTTATGATTATAACAAAATATTATTTATGCGCTGACTACAGATTTATACTCTATTTGTATTATAGATGCAAGTAAATCTCTGTTGAATCAAATAAAATTATTAAATATTAATGCTGCTGCAAAATATATACTAAAGGACTATGATGGTAAAGCATAATTATTAGACAAACTATTTAGCATTTAAAATAGTAAAAATAGTTTGAATATATTTGAGTGAAATTTAATTTTCAGGGCCCTTCCTTGATTCTTCAAAAATATCATACGTGACAAGTGCACAGAACAAAGAAAAAAAATTATATATAAAAGCGCTTGAAGAAACATTAACATTCATGTTGAATCCTTCTGAATATACATTAAATTTAAATACAAATATGGGTTTCCTTTTGGGTATGCATAACATAATTTCATAGTATGCATTTTTAAAAAACAATTTATAATTAAATAATGTTTTAGATGCTGAATGTAGAGATTTCAGTTATAAAACTGATATATTTGCTAAGAAACAGGCTGACAAAGATAGGTTAAAGAAAACTAGTAAGAAGTAAGTATAAAATGGAAGTAAGAACTATTGTCTAATATTTTATTTTGCAAAAATTAAGAAGTTTATAATACGACTAATTATAAATTTCAGAATTGCTATAATGCTACACGATTATTATGACTATTGTCAATGGAGTACAGATCTTCAAGGATCAGTTCAATTAGAGACCAAATTATTAGAACACAGAGGGTATCATATTTTACCTATTTCTTACCTACAGTTCAGTTTATGTGACACACTTAACAAGCGTGTAAAAACGTTAAAACGGTGCTTCGATTTATCGAACCAAGTATGATTTAGTATCGTGTAATGTTTGATAAATAAAAATATGTACAATATAATTCTATTTGCGACTCATATCTATTTTAATTTATCAAAAATGTAGTACAACACTTCTAAAAATGTCATAGATGCAACTGATGTAATTCTATATGTTAATATATAATTATTTTAATAATATTTATAATTTACACTCACCAACTTATGTTTCGAAAGCACATGTGCATTTTTATAAATAGTACAATAATAACTTTCTTAAATGGTTTCTAAAATTTTTCATTTTAATTGTCAGCGAAAGTTTTAATTATTATTTTCGTTGGTTAAAATTTAATTTATAATAATTGGTCTGCGACTGAAAATATGCAATGGATTAGAGTCGGTTACCTATAGTTTAGGACATCGTGTATAAATGTGATGTATTTCGCGCGGGTAGGTAGTTATGCACCTGTGGCCACGATTTTGTCCCATGCCCCGAGGCTGAGTGAAGTTCCGATGGAAGGAGTGACCCAAAGATGGACCCAAAAAAGGCCGGCACGACGGGGGATTCTGTGACGTCTCATTAGAGTTCTCGGTCTCCCGCCAAAGCGCCTGAGGATGGTCACCGTGGGGTTTTAGCCGGTAAGAATCCGGCACTAACCGTGGGCCCCCCTTCGGGACTCCCCTGAGGGTATCCGTGAAATGTAATGTATAAGATTTCATTTAATTTTTAAGATTTATGTGGAACATTTAAAAGATTTTTTATAAATATCGCCTATGTATCGGGACAACTATAAAACAAGAGGTATCATTATTATCCATGGCCTGATTATAGTCAAAGTCAAACCGGCCTTTGAAATGAGGACATAAAACTTAAATGTAAAGTTTCATTTAAATTCATTCAGCTATTTATACTCACAAGGAACCATCGCGAACGGTCCGGCTTCGATTTTGATGAAACTTTGTACACTTATAAAGCAGCCAAAAATAATCGACACGTATTTTTTTTTAGCTGCGGTAACTCGAGTTTAAGGGGTGAAACCACCCCTTGAAGTTTTGGCTCGAAACGGCTATCTCGAAAACGGAAAGACATACAAAAAAATTGTTAACGGGCGAGGTTGATGGTTTCTTATGTACAATAACATGGTGTTAAAAAATTTAAAAAAATACAATTTGTTTATAACAAAAAAAAATTGATTAACTTAATTTTTCATTTTATTGAAATTTTCATAATGACAAAAAATGACGAGCATTTTATTCCAAATCCATCGGTATGCGATTTTTTAAAATTGCCTCCTACAGTTTTGCAGATTTTAATGATTTACATCTTGCGCGCACATCCATTATGGTAGTAGCCGTTCTAACTTTGATTTTAATGAAGCACTGCAGGCTTGCACTACTTCTAGAGGACAAAATCGGGAAAAATACAAGAATACCAATTTGTTGATGGAGGCTTCGTTAAGAAATTATTAAAAAATTAAATTAAAAAATTTCAAATCCTCCAGGAAAAAATTATTTTCGGTTGCGGGGGCCAATTACAATCATTTTTGGTCAATACATATACCCACGAAATCCTACGCACTTTCGAGAAAAAAATTCCTAATCGAAAATGTAATTTATGGCCAGAAATGTTGTCCGAAAATTTCATGCGGATCTTTAAAATGTCATAACTTCTGAACGGATTGATGGATTTTAATTTTCAAAAATGCAAACGACGCGTATTTTAATCAAGAATACGTAGAAATCGCAAAAATATGCAAAAAGTTGATCCTTGACCCTGCAAAATGAGAAAAACCTCATAAAAATGGTCCAATCTTCAAACAGCCATAATTCCTACAATAGTGAATATATTTCTATGAAACTTTTTTCTGAAGTAGAGCTCATAGGTACCTACAAAAAAGTATTGGCCAACTTTTTTGTAGGTCGTCAAACAAAATTATTAAAAATGAAAAACGAATTTTTAAGAAAAATCGACAGGTGCCTAAATTTTTCAGCGAAAAAAAAAAATTTCAAATCGTTCTAAAAAAATTATTTTCAGTTGCGGGAGTCAATTTCAATCATTTTTGGTCAATATATATACCCCCGAAATCCTACGCACTTTTGAGAAAAAAATTCGAGAATGTGTGAAATTTTTCAACAAAATTAAAAAATTTCAAACCATTCTGAAAAAATTATTTTCGGTTGCAGGGGTCGATTACAATCATTTTTGGTCATTACACATTCCCCCGAAATCGTGGGCATTTCGGAGAAAAAAATTCAGTACGGGCGGAACTTTAAACGTTAATAATTTCTTAACGAAGCCTCCATCAACAAATTGGTATTCTTGTATTTTTCCCGATTTTGTCCTCTAGAAGTAGTGCAAGTCTGCAGTGCTTCATTAAAATCAAAGTTAGAACGGCTACTACCATAATGGATGTGCGCGCAAGATGTAAATCATCAAAATCTGCAAAACTGTAGGAGGCAATTTTAAAAAATCGCATACCAATGGATTTGGAATAAAATGCTCGTCATTTTTTGTCATTATGAAAATTTCAATAAAATGAAAAATTAAGTTAATAAATTTTTTTTTGTTATAAACAAATTGTATTTTTTTAAATTTTTTAACACCATGTTATTGTACATAAGAAACCATCAACCTCGCCCATGAACAATTTTTTTGTATGTCTCTCCGTTTTCGAGATAGCCGTTTCGAGCCAAAACTTCAAGGAGTGGTTTCACCCCTTAAACTCGAGTTACCGCAGCTAAAAAAAAATACGTGTCGATTATTTTTGGCTGCTTTATAAGTGTACAAAGTTTCATCAAAATCGAAGCCGGACCGTTCGCGATGGTTCCTTGTCAGTCGTATTAATATGTGCGCTCATACGTAGGAATAATAAAAAAAAATTCTTTTTTTTTTTTCAATAATTAAAATATGATCATGGTGGTCTTAAAACGTGTATTTCCGTAAACAAAATTTCACAAAATTTTTCATTATGGGTACTTTGCTTATGTGCGCTTACATAGGTCAGAAAGTAAAAATGTGAGCCTTTCTCTCTCAACTCCCACGAGACGGTCCGAAATTACTTCGGGCAGCTTCGAAGATTCGAGAAAGAGGGCATGTGTCAGTTTGTCTTTGTCGACTCACCGAAACTGTACGAGCTCACGTACCCGTGATTTGGCATAGTGTGAGTAGTGCACCCGGTGCTCGATCTGGCACTGTAGTGTGCATCGTGTGCGCTATTTTTGGCCGCGTATCAAAAATGAATACGGTGTAGACTAAGTCTTATTCTACAAAGGTGGAGGTAATTTTGCGTATTGTGGGCAGGTGAAAGGTGTTGTGTTTATTTTTGTAGTTACTTCAACAAAAGAAATTTACTTAAAAATGGTAAATATTCTTCACGAGACGAGAGTTAAACAATGGTTACTGTGTTGCTGGTGTTTCAAACGATATAGGAACGTATGTTTATGAAAGTATCGAAATTTGTTTCAGATGCAATTTATGTTATTATTCAGTCGCCAAGGAAAGTTGCGCCTGCAAAAGTGGTATGTGGCTCATCCAGATAAATTAAAGAAGAAAATTACGCGCGAATTGATTACTACAATATTGGCAAGGAAACCTAAAATGTCAAGTTTCTTAGAATGGAAGGATGTTAAAGTTGTCTACAAACGGTATGTTATAATTGTGCAGTTATTTACAACATAATTCAACAAAGTGTTTTATTTTAATAAAAAGATAATTTTGTTTTATAGATACGCGAGTTTATATTTCTGTTGTGCAATCGAACAGAATGACAATGAATTACTCACTTTAGAAATCATACACCGTTACGTTGAATTGTTGGATAAATATTTTGGAAGTGTAAGTATAAGCTTATTTATCTATTATATGATAATACAATTGATTTTTTATTTGATTTAGTTTTTTTCATTTATCTTACGAAAAAATATTTTTTTCATTAAAGATTTGGTAATACAAAAATGCCATATCTTTGATTGTACTTTTATAACAAATTTGCATTGTTTATATTAACATTAATTTCTGTGTGTTATTAGGTGTGTGAATTAGATATAATCTTCAACTTTGAGAAAGCGTACTTCATCTTAGATGAATTATTGGTTGGTGGTGAAATTCAGGAGACCAGCAAAAAGAATGTGTTAAAAGCCATTGCAGCTCAGGATTTACTACAGGAGGTTAGTTATGGGGATGTACCCATTGAGTTGTGACTTGTTCTTTTTAACGACACTATAATTTTTGTCTGTTATTTTCTAGTAATATGCTCGAATCGTTTTAACATGTAAGACAATCATTTTATGGACTTTGAATTTTAAGAACGTGAACAGTATATTTTATCATTTTTATTGCATTTCGTTAATGCTCGTTATCTTATTTGTATCTGCAAATTTGTTCAAACGATTCGCATAGTATATTTAACTTCCAATAATTCGTGTGTAATGTCCCTATCAAAATACTTAAATTTACATTGATCAATAGGTACATATAAAAAGTACCTAAAACTTTTTGGATGATTTGTATGTGTAGCATGTTTGTAGCCTGTTTATTCTGGGTAGAATAATGTTAATAATGCGGTGTTAAAGGTGTAACAAAATGTCCTTATATTGAATCACTTTCTTAAGTTTAATACATAATTAATATTGTACTATTACATATATAAGTTTATATACAATTATTTTTATATACAAGAAAGTTTAGAGGTACATATTAATGTTTATTTATAACTCTATGTGAAGATAAGGAACATTTTAAGATTATACACAGACCATGTTGAAGTTCTTGGTTACATGCATCCCAAACCTGATTTTGATTTTCAAATATATTATAAAGGGTAAAATGTTGAACAATTTTTTCCTCTGGCATAATTTCCAGTTGATTTTAATTGAATTTAATTGCTAATATTTCGGAAATTAGTGCCGACCAAAAATTTTGTCAGAGGAAAAAGTTGTTCAGTATTTTACCATTTATAACTTCCTTGAAAATCATCAAAATCAGAAAAGGGGCGGGTAATAAAGAACTTCATCCAGATCATTTATAACAGTAATTTTACAACAATAGCAGTTAAAAGAGTATTTGAAGAAAGAGTATTTGTTAACGGCTATGCATTACAACAATATAAAAAATTTGTTTTCAATGTAATTGTAGTCACCGCATTATTTTAATGCCTGGCGAAAATGGGTTGTAATGACACTTCGATGTCGATTAACAATGTAATATTTTCAGTGCATGATGGAATGTAACACCTTTAAGTTAAAATTTTGTAATAACAATGTGTTATTTTTAAGGGCGCGCGAGAATTGATAATTTCGAGTCGGGTAGGATTGGATCTTGTTCTCGAAAGTATTATCGCGATTAGAGATATTTGGGTAGTCCGAAACTCAGGTTCGAACCATTAAGAAAGCGACAGATTTGGGCCAGCAAAGCTATACCAAAATCGATTCTTTCATTACCAAGTCTGCTATCCCATTTTAGTATACGATAAACCAAATGTGGATACGTTTAGAATACGATGTTTCCGATCTGTTCGATTCGATTCGGTTCCGTTCGGTTCGGTTCGGCAAAGATCGGGCGGATTTGATCGGACAACCGTTAACACACAAATATTTGAACAGTTCAAAAAAGTTGATTCAGTCGGACGGATCGACAAATTCGGGTCGCTTGATAGTTTTAGATTATCGGGCAACGTGATGTTTTTGATTATTGGTTCCAAATCGGAAGAAATCTGGCGGGATCGACTGATGTAAAGCTGTCTGGGTATGTTGAATAGTTCAATTATAATCGGACTGATTTGCACTCCAACTCTTGAATGTTACGGGCGTACAATCGAATTCTCCCGACATTTTCGGGTCCGAATCAGAGCTCGGCGAAATGTAATCGCCAATTTCTTTATGGCCTGAGTCCGAATTTCCGCTACCCGTACATCTTTAGTTGCAATATAAGAATAATTGGATTTTCGAAATATGGTTCGGGATACATTTTTTGTTTCAAGTACAACCAAATTGAATTTCAAGTACACGACATTTCGGGAATCCCAATTTTCTTATTTCGCTTGACACTTTCGGAATCTCGATTAACGGAATATCCTTCTGTTCTCGCACACCCTTGGATTTTTTCTTTAGGTTTGATAGTTTTTGTCCCTTTGTAAGTTTGATGTGCTATATGTATATCTGTATTTTTATATTCTGGAACTACTTTTGTTCGTTTATGCAGTCTTGTTTTAAAACGTTTGAAATTTTTATTAACATTTAGCGTGAGTTGTACATACTTGATAATTATTGTTGCAATGCTTGATTGAAAAATCTGTATTATAAATCCCATTATAGATATATATGATACGTACATACAATGATTAGTAAAACTCTTTATCATTATTAATCGTAAATATGATTTATCTCTTTTTCAATATAATTAGATCGTGGAGCCGTTATTAATATATAATTACATAAAATATTATGTAGTCAGGAAAGCATGAAAAGTGACTGCCCGTTCTTTCCAGTGATATTAAGTGTAACGTTTATACAAACAAATGTAGATATAATATGTGTTTAAAAAACATTGTAAACTGTTATTTTTTTCTAATAGCTAATGCTATGTGCATAGAATGCTTATATGCTTATTCTGTTGTTAATGTAAGGGGTTACATGTATTATGAATTTATAATGTATGCAACAGCATATCTGTAGTGGCAAAATTAAAATCTATACAAATTGTTGCCATATTTTATTGACATTAAATATTACGATACAACATCGTTGATATTGTGATCTACATAATGCACAAATTTAATGACAATATAAAATTACTTCCATTTAAAGTTCCTCTTATAATTTACATAATTTAGACAAAATAATTACATCACATGTTTTAGTAATAATTGCTGGTTCTTTTCTTTAAAAAATTTTATGGTCAAAGTAGGTATTTTATACTTATATAAAAAATTTTACTTTTTTCAATCAATTTAAATATGTAATAACTAATATCAATAGGAAAGATACAGTTTTACTTTAAACTAGAGCATACTCATATTTACTACACAATTATAGAATTATTTTTAAATAATTTTTATTTTAATCAAAGCAAGATGTCTTTAATATCATTTATGTGTTAATAATATTCTATATAAATCTTGCATAAGCCCAGTTATTTTATAAAATCATGAAAAACAATTTAAGCATTTTTTAAATATACAAAATACAAGTTAAATAGTCAGTAATATAAGTAAATCCATTTTTCTAAGTTCCTTTTACAAGTAGTTCTATAAACATTTTTAAATTATGCACTATAAGTGTATACATTATAATTAATATATTATATAACTATGAAAATAAGAACATAGACATGTTTTTCCTATTACAAAATATTATTGTAATTACTGTTATTTTGAAGATCATATTATTATTATTTATTACTTCAAATATCTTCCAAATGATTTATTATTATATTTATAACAAAATATTTATAAATTAATGGGAAGAATATATTTTTACAATAGCTGTGAAAGTATAAACATCAATAAATAATAAATTGGTATATAAAACACCATCAATAAGCCACATTAGATCATATTCTTTATTTTATTAAAAAGAGTAATGTAATTAAATGCTTGTTTCTTGCAATAGCATTATCATACTTTATAGAAAGTTATATGAGAAGGATATAATGCTATAGAAATGCTGTTGCTTATAAGTTGTTGAAATGTATGTATATATTTTCAATTGGCAATAAATATCAATCATTGTCAATTATACTGACAGCATAATTTTATGTAATGTTTTTGATCGTGATCCACAAAATATTTTGAATAATAGATATAAGATTTTATGATGCAGAATTATGCTTACATGTTTGTTATTTTTTACACATAATTTAATCGCATGGAAGTAATTTTTTTCATAAACTTATAGTATTTATTTGTCTTATTCTTTATAAGACATATTTTACTGTAAGAAGAGCATAACGAAACAGTGGTTTTCATGAAGTTAATTTATTAGTCATGCTTTGTTAGATCATGATTATGTTAAATTAGTATATATATTTAATTTTATGAGAGTTTTATTCAGGCGATGTTCGGTATTTGTAGGAACATCTTGTAATATTTTGTGATTACTTATTTGTGAAATATATAGAGAGTACATTTAGATTATATCTGTGTTAAATTATTATTATACTGTATAACATATTTTTAATTAGGTAATATAATTACGCTTTCTACACAACACAAATGTTACAGAAAAATATTTTGTAAGATATTTATAGGAAAATATTTTATGTTAATATCAGGAAGTTTATGTATATTCTCAAACCAAATAGGACATTTTACATATATTACTATTCGCAGCGAAATATTTAAAATTTCTGATAGTGACTGTTATTTTAATTATATCATAAGATATAAGTACACGCAAACAATTTTAAGAAACTATTGCAAATTCAGCAAGATGTTTAACATTTATTTATACGCTTCATATACTAATTTCAGTTAGGGAATGTTATTCTTACATTAATGTATCAAAAATACAAGATAAATACATCAACAAGTATTATTAAATATACATTTTGTATGTATATAAAAAATAGTTCAACAAGTATTACCATTAGCATTAGATTATGTATTTACTTGGTCAACATATTTTTTGCCATTGCTTTTATTTATTCAATTTTGTTTTAGTATCAGTTCAACAGGATAAAAAGGTATCTTGTATAATAAATTTTTTATGAAATGTTTTATTCATAAAGTTTAACTCTCTTCGGGTGTACTTCCGAAAAGGGCATACCTCCGATTTTTTTTATACTCTGGGTTCTTACGTAATTTGACGTGCTGATTACGAGTATGATAGTGAAACTTGGCGCAAATTTTATTTTCATAACAGAAACCATGAAAAAACCATAAAAATCATGGTTTTTTTATTTACTTCCGTAAATAAGGAGAATTTTGTAAAATACTTAACATAAAAGTTGTAGACCTCAACAAAATACACATTTTATGCCGTATTGATTTTTGTCATAAAGATAATACTTTCTGAGAAAAATGATAAGTAATTATTCACTTATACGGAGCTACCCTCGATTGCGATGTTCTTTACATATGTTATCTTCTATAACGAACAGCTGTTTAATTTAATGTTTATGGGGATGAAAGCTACGCGTGGAAAGTTAAAAATCCAATGATACAGAAAATACGTGGGCGAGTGAAGAGCTTTGCTGTATTCTTTTCTAGTATTAACTAATGAAATGAACAATAAAACTTGATTTGTGTTACACACACAAACATTTAATATCGTTTTTCTCAAAAACTATTGCCTTTATGACAAAAATCAATAGAACATAAAATGTGTATTTTGATGAGGTCTAAAACTTTTATCTGAAGTATTTTTAAAAATGTCCATTATTTACGAAAGTAAATAAAAAAAACTATGATTTTTATGGTTTTCTTCATGGTTTCCGCTATGGAAATAAAATTTGCGCCAATTTTCACTATTATACTCGTAATTAGCACGTAAGAATCCCGAGGATAAAAAAAATCGGAAGTATGTTCTTTTCGAAAGTTTATCCCTCTCCTCTATAATGTATCTAATATTGTAAAATTGAATAGTCAGATTTAGCTCAACATTAATGTTCCATAACTAAGGACACGTCCAGAAAAACACTAAAGATTAGTCAGAATATTTGTTTGTTTGTGGAAGGATGAAGCTGTGGAAGGTGCTCTGCGGGAGATAGGGCTTTTGTAGGTGCTGCGTTCTTGCATGCCCTTCATGGCCAATCTGACAACCCACATGAATCAAGACCTGGAGCAGGCTCACCCGCTGCATGATGCCATCATACGTCTCTACTTTTTCTATAGTTACTGAGCATCAATTTTTTACTTACCATTGAAAACCCTTACAAATCTAGTATACAAACTTTAGTATATTTTTCTATAGGCAACTGCTATAACTCATATATGAAGAGAGTAATATAATATTAGCTCATAGAAAATCCTCTTAGTAATATTATTGCTTCTTATTTTATTACTGAGTAGGTAATAGCTACAACATAGATTAGTCCCGTACTATGGCAATAAAATTACGTGTATTTAGAAAGCCATTATTTATCTGTGAATACAACACAAAAGTATTTACATAGAGTTTACACAATTTTTTATTGCATAAGAAATTCTTTCTTTACATTTTGTATAGTTTCCTTTATATGTATATGTTTACATACGTATATGTAAACATGACCATATTTATTTTAGCATAAATTAAAGATGAACGTTCTAAGGTATCACTTTTGTATGTGTGTATGTGTATATACATAAGCAGTGTCAATTTTTAATGTTATAATTCTAACAAGGTAATAATACCAATAATAAATGTATGAAAAGGAATTTTTAAGTAATTGTACACAGAATTATATATCACCTTTTCCATGTAATTAACCCAATTTATGTATTTATTTATATTGTATCTACCCTTTCAGGTTTTAATAAGACACTTTATCAATTGTTTCTACCTGCAATAAAATTATTATTAGAACTCTTATTTATTGATTGTTTGCTAGGAAGGTCTTTTCATTAAAGTTGGTCTATTTTATGGTATGCACACCCATTTAACAATAAGTGCAGGGACATTCTGTACATAGCATGCGACACAGACATTTCTATGATTGATGCTTAAGCATTTCAAACGAGGCAATAAATGAATATGTGCTTTGTGCAGCTTTGTGTATCCATACAAGTAATACTCAGTTATATGAAAAGGGTTCAGTTCGCCATTTGAAGCTGCATCAAGGAGGTTACTTAATTACAAAGTAGGTATGTGTATACTTATATATTTTCATTATTGTATATTTGCATTATATGATAAACTGCAGCATCAAAGAAATTGATCCCTCTTCATATACATATATGTACGTTTTAGATATATTTTAATTTAACAATGCTATTCGTATGTTTCAGGAGGAAACTCCACAGGGATTCTTCGAGGACCATGGTCTGGGATAATATTTTCTAGACAATATATCTGACTTAATGTAAGTGGTTTATTTTTGCGTCACAACTACAACATTCCAGAATTGTATTTACTATGAACTATGTTGATTATATTTAAGAGTATAGTACTGCACAGATTTTAATAGATCAGAATCAATTTTTCAAATTAAATTTATACCTGTAATGAGCAAAAATAGAATTTTATTATACTGTTTTCTCTCAATAAACATGTTAACATAGATAGCACAGAAATGAAAATTGTTGTTTCATACGTATATAAGCATAAATAAGTTACTTCTTTACTTTGTTGAAATACCAGCAGTACTATGCTAGATATATGCTACATGTTTTTTGCACATCTTATTTAACCCTCTATATTTCAAAATGCCAGTAATTGTATCATTATTATTCACATTTCATTCTCATGTGGTTTAATCCTTAAAATATAAAAATCTGGACAGTGTTCATCTAATGTTCTTCTATTGTAATACTGCATATATAAAAGCACTTAAATAATAAATGACAAAAAAATAAAGTACCAACAATAACTACACATTGTTATCCAATAATTAAAACATCAAAGATTTATTTGCTTGAAAGAAATGTAAGTAAAGTAGTTAATTGTTTATATTTGAAATATTATCTCTGTTACTTATGCATTTTAAGGATTAAACTATTTACCAAAAATTAAGTATTGTATATACAGTATTTTATATAATCAACATTTTATAATATTGCAATAAAGACTATGATATTATAACGCAATATAATTTTTAAGTGAAATAATTGTTAATAATACAATAGTATTCTGTAATACATATGGGTAAAACACAATTGCATCTACATAATTAAATTATGATCTTGACTATTATTTCTATTGATATTATTTTTCATTAAAAAAAAAATACGTTTCTTGTAATGTATATTACATCAGAAATGACAGTATTTTATTATGCAGTAGAAAAGTCAATGAAGATAACTGCATGGAACAAGGAATTCTATATAATTAATGGCTATCTCCAATTAAATAAATTTTTATTAAATCTTTTAAAACACGATAACAATTTAAAATTGATCATCTAAACTGGTTGAGGACTTAAAAATTAGCCATACTTTTAATACAATTTTTGCAGTACTTTCTTGGAGCATAATCCTTCTTTTAGATGGTAATTATAATTAAAAGTATTAAAGTTTATACATAGAGGGTTAAATAATGAATACTTAACAATATTATTACTATATATATATATATTCTTTGTAAGGTGCTTATTGGATTTTCACGTACATTTAATTACATTGTTGAACCAAACTACATATAAGTATTACAAAATTTATCATGCTTTAGTAATCTTGATTCCGTAGTTATATTTTTACGTTTTATATATAAATAATTGTTAGCGATTTCAATTTAAACATTTTTAGATGTATTGCTCAAAAGCAATGCTATCATTCAAATTCAAGCAAATTAATACTAAAAAGAGGATAAAGCATAACATTTCTTAGATAACAATGTATCGAAGTAATAAAATTGCATTAAAAAAATTTTATGAACAGAAACAATGAAGATATTAGTAAGCTGATTAAAATTTGCGAAATTCGTATTTATTGCAGTTTGGAACGATATTGACGATTATAAAAATACTTCGTTCTAATAAAAAAAAAAAATGGAAAATAACCATTGTTGAGAAATGAAGTTTCTTGTTAACAGATACATCATAAGTGGCTTGATTTAATTATGTTCTGAATAAGTAATATAATACAGACAGAAAAATCGGGATCTTCGAGAAACTGTCATAATGTTATTAGATAGCAAACAATTTTAGGAATTACCTTAAAGTCATATTAACGATATTAATTTTTGCAAAATAATTGATTATACTATATCTTACATTCAGTTATTTCTGTACATTGTATCCATATGAACATTAATATTATCAATCTGCAATTATGTTACATTATTTTAATGGGAGGAAGACAAAAACTTGCTGGAATTATTATAATTAAATGCTGCAATTCTTAATGAGTCAACACATTTTTATTAAAATGCATTCATATTAATTTTTGCAGTAATCAATTATTCATAAAGGGAAACAAAATTTGTCTTGTAACAATTAACAGTGACAGGCTTGACTTTATTGTTTTCATCTCAGTTACACACTGTGTCCAGGTTTTGTGAACATTCAGTTTTTTTTTTAGTTAGAAAGTTGTTTGATTTGGAAGAGAAAATCTTTGTTGACAATTGCTTGGTTCAGTTGGTTAATTCATCAAGTACATTTTTAAAGAAATGATGAGAAAACATTGTTTTACATAAATTTACTAGTAGAGACTTTTAGTGATAAAGTAAAAATTCATTTATTTCAACACAGAATAAAATCATAAAATGTAACAGTTTTTCATTAATAGTGCCTACAGAGAAAATGGAGGTACAATTTTCAAAAATGTATAAGGGGAAAAAGTCACTGTTTTACTGTTGCGTTTTTTTTTTCTCCAAATCAAACATTTTTTGTATAAATATTATGTTGTATATTTAATAGTATGTAAAGTAATGGAATACATAGTGTGGAAATAAACTGCAGGAATAAACCTTTCAGGAGTTTATGAAATTCATTGAAAGAAACAGGCTGTGCACATGCTGTAGAATGACTCACATGTAAAAAGTTTAATATGTTAACAACTAATAGAGAATCTCGGGATAGATATGCTTTTTTTTATGGATTATTACAGTTTACTTCTTTTACATGATCTACAATATGTTTTGTCACAAAAAAAAAAAATGTCTAAACAATTAAAAAGCTTAATATTCTTATAACTATTAATTATCTGACGTGTTAATTAAGACATTTTTGTTTCTTTCAATAAATTTGATCAATCTTTAAAGTTTACATCTATAATTCGTTTACATACATACATTTATACCAGACATGTTGTACATTTGATCTTCAGTTTTTAGAAACAGTTGATTGTAAAGGATAGAAAATAATGAATGATTGATCTCATAGAAAAGTGTGGTGCAAGTTAACTTTACCTCAGTTTAAGAATTTAACGTCTGAAGGAAATAACTTAGTTTTCCAACTTTTGGCTTTGTTACTCTTATTTTCAGACTCAATTGTTAGAAGTTTTCCCTAAACAGTTGCATAAATGTTTCGTTTGACTGTTTGTCTATATATTGAAAATTTCTACCGACAGTATCGGTTTTGCTAAAATATCGCCACAAAATATTTCGATGCATCTCGTTACGGAAATGTCCGTGTTCCTGTTGATTGTCATTATAATAGCGAAGTATTTTTGCGAATTTTGATCGCGCTGATCATTCCTATGCATCGTAACAAAAAAAAAATAAAATCGATATTAAAAGAAATTTACATAAGGACAATAAGTTTAAACAGTGTTCGTTGAATGTTTGTTCATAGTATTGATACAACTAACACGAGAACATGCGTTATACATATCTGAAGAATGTATATTCACTGTCTACTTATTTTATAGATTACTTTAAACGTAAATATGTAAGTCGTTGCTAGTAGTTTGTTTTGGCTTCGTAGTACGGCAAAGAAATGATTATTCTGTAATTTCTTAGTGCTTTCAAGAGAGGTTCTTAAACGAAGATTTTGTGTTTGAATCGAAATCACAAGTTCGTATTAAGGATCGATAATTGAACATTTACAAGTATGTATTTCATTGAAGTACAATACACTTCAAAAGTATGCACGTTTTTGAAGCCTGAAAAAATTTGCAGTATTCCGTAATATTTCTAGGCAGTATGCAAATTTCTTATACATTGAATTTACGTGAGATATTTTCAATTCTTACTCGAATGTATTTGATATTCAAATGTTTCCTAGTGGAAGCATTTATCAATTGAAACTGATATGAAGCATATATTAAGAAAAAAAATAGAATTATGTTCTGATTTATAATCGTCGTTTAAGTAAATTCAACGATCATACGTATATGTATGTAATGCATATTGCCTGGATATTTTATTTCGTTTTCATTGTATATGTAATGCAATAAATGTTCGCATATGATTTCACGGGCAAAATAAATTACTTTAGGTAAAATGAAAAATGGCTATGTTTAGATAAAGTACCTCGTGTATTTACGTTTAAATATTTATTAGTGGTGCATAGAAAACATAAATATTCCATTATTTTCTGTACTTTAAGCAACTTTAGTATACGATTTGTTTTAGTTACTTATTAGATATGATACACTAGCATTCGCCAGATTCTTGTTAGTTTTAACATTTATACGTGATAACGATGAAATTACTCTCCGACAATGTTATGCTGTTCTTTCATGCAATCAAAATTAGCGGTTAAGTGCGCGAGTTTGTTAGAACCTGTGCGTATACAAGGTTATTAAACAGAATTAAGAACAATGCCAATGTTAAGCAT